AACAAGTTATGAGGTGTTCCTTCCTCAGCTTGATAAAAACAACATCACATTGTCCCTCCATCCTTCTATTCATTTTCAGTCATTTTGAGTCAAGATGAATATATTAGACCTAAAAATAGATAATGATATTCCATGTATTAATAGCATTGGGTGTAATCTCTTCAGATAGCGTCTAAGATTGATGAACTGCATTGCTGAGTCATGTTTGCCCAACTTAGTCGCAATCTCCGCATCTCTGCAGACTCTGATTTGTAACACTTCTATTCAAATAATGTTTATCAGCAATTTGTTTTACCATTTCTAAAATACAGTTGCTGTTTATGAAAGGGCTTCCTGGCTTCTGAAATGCCTTTATTCTGTCCCATGATACAGTGGCGAGAGTGTAAGAAAAGGCACGCCAGCTCCACGCACCCATCCCATGTCAAAATACTTTAGAAATGCATGGCTGCCCCCAGCCCCGCTTTGTATTTCCCAGGAAAGAAATGACTGAGTGTAATGTCATCATGCAATCCTGGCTGTAGGTTCCTTGTGGTGCTTCCCACTAGTCCATAATTTAATGTAATCATAAAGTGGATAATGAGCTCCAGAGCAGTTAATACTTTGAGGTTGAGTGCTATCAGGGCACACCCACCCAAGAGGCGTATAGAAGTCTACACATACTGCTGTCTTCTCTTCCTGTTCTCATATTCCTGTTTTCTGAACTCTACTAAACATGTCCCATACCCAGATGTTCTAATTTGAGCATCCACATTTTGTAAACCCATCGTTTCAGAAGAGTATTTGTAAAACAGGGTCAAATACAGGCAGATGGTTGTTCTTTTCAACCTGTTCAGCAAAAGGTGATGGTAGGTGAGAGGTTAAATAAGTTCAAAGACTGTGCTAGAGCAGACGGAAGGCCCATCTAGTCTCACATTCCATGTACAGTGGCCAACCAGATATCCATTGGAAGCCCACAAGCAAGACATGATCCCACCAATACTCTCCCTAGAATTCAGAGGCCTAGTGCCTGGATTTCTCACCACTGATAGTCATAGCCGTCCAGAGACGTTAGTAATTGGACAGCATACAAATTGTATGTATGTATGTATGTATGTATGTATAAATAAATAAATAAATAAATAAAATATCCCCTATGAGCACTGTGTTTTTGGGAAAGAGGATGAAATATAGAGCTGTTACAGTTTTAGGTATTTTTGGCTAGTGAGGATATGGTAGATAGATCCCCGCCCTTGAGATATACAAAGCAGGTTCTGTCCCCAGTATGAGGGATAGTATAAATCGGGGGTGGGCAGAAGGTAGATCACTAGATGATTTGGACATCAGTTCATCGAAGTCTCTGCCACCATGGCTAATGGCGAGGGAATGTATGGGCAGACATTCAGGGTACAATTCTATGCACATAGAGATGGAAAATGACCCTACAACCTTCAGCATGCCCCTGCCAGTTACAGAGCAGTTTACAGAGTAGAGAGCCAATGTAGTGGTCAGAATGCTGGAATGGGGCTTTCAGACCTGGGTTCTAGTGCCCACAGCTATGAATTTCACTGATGCCAAGAATTTTGGGTCAACCTACCTCCCAGGGTTATTGTGAAGATCAGATAGAAAGGAAGAACAGGATTGTGCAAGCTGATGTGGGTTTCTTGCAGGAAAAAATGGTAAATAAATATAATGAATTCATGAATAAATACCATAAAGTGCAAAACATTGGAAGATCTATTTTTGTCATCTTGGTATATAATTAGTTTGCCCCAACCTGGCATCCTCTAGATGTGTTCAAATACAACTCTCATCATCCCAGTTGTATGGTGGCTTAGGATAATGGTATTTGTATTCCAGACATCTGGGGGAGTGTGCCAGTGATTAAATTGAGGTCCATTGTTCAACTCCACTCAGGATATTTTTGTCCCTTCCCTTCCAATTTTGGTTAATGCATTATATTCCCTGTCTCTCCTCCCAACCCCAGTGGAGATCTTTGGCTTTTACTGTGGTTTTTTAATGGGAGGTGGGATATGGGCTAGGCTCTCAGATGTGTTCAGCTGTGACCACATCCAAGTACAGGAGGTCCTTCATAAAGGAGGATCCGACTAAAAATAGAAGGGTTGAAGGATGCGATGCTTTGCATGTTTAGAGAGAAGCAAGTCCTAGAACACTGTTAAAAGTTGTGGGACTGTTTTCTGTCTAATTACATTGCACTCGAATCTAGTTAATTTTTGCTTGCTCTTCACACTTCCCCAGCTTTCTCCTCTTCCCCTTTTGTAGCAAACCTTGGCTGAGACTTGACTCTGGGGTGCATGTGTGGAGGCCAAAGAGCTTCCCTGAGTTTTGCCTGATGGCAGCCTATTAAGAGAATCAAGGCGCACTGCACACAGCTGAGCTGGAGATCTGCCAGGGAAATCATCTACTCCCATCTTTGGAGAAACCCAGAAGAATCCTGGGTTGAAGCCAGCGTGAGATGCAGCAGGCAGAAAACACTGAATACATACTTCGGTAGAATGTTCTTCCTTTCCCTTGCCAAACACGCTTTTGCTAGCATTGTAGTTCATTGCATTGCAATCAACATCTTGAATAAAAATTGCCTTCCTTGGATATATTTGGGCCAAGATAATGGCAATATTTAGACTTAATATATTTGTTGTTATGTGCTGTCAAGTGGTCTGCGACTTACGGCGACCCTATGAATGACCCCCAGAATATCTGGTCTTTCAAAGTCCTGCTCAACTCTTGTACACTCAAGGCTCTTGTAAACTCAGCTCATTATCTCATATTTGCTCTTCCTCTTTTTCTACCTTTAGCTTTCCATAGCATTACTATCTTCTCCAGTGAGTCTCACCCTTTCTCATGATGTGCCTGAAGTATAACAGCCCTAGTTTAATTTTCCTTCTGGGCCAAGCTCTAGCTTGCTTTGATCTAGGACCCGCTGGTTTGTCTTTCTGTCAGTCCCAGGGTTTTGCCAAGGTTATCTCTATGTCTCTTTCAAAATAGAGCACAATTGCTGGAAGCTGGACTTCTCAACTAAGATACCCACAGAAACTCACAAACGTCTGGCAGGACAGTGGACTTTTAACAACCAGCCAGTCCGTGGTCTTGTTTGTATAGGTTTAGGTTTGTAGCTTTCTCTGTATAAACAAAATAGCCAAAATGTGGTCTTCTCTCCTTCCAACGCCTCTCTAGCTCTCAGACCAAAGAGGGGCATATGCAGAAGTTAGGATTGCTGGTATTAAATTGGAACAACAAACATTTGTCTTCCTTCTGCCATTGCTTGTACCTAAAAATTTAGGATATGAGGACTTGGGTTTCCAAGGCAGGTGACTGTCTTTCCAGTGGCTTCACACCTGTTTGCTTTTGCAAATTGAGCAGTAGATCAGGCTTCCCCATTCTCCTGGCTGGGAGAAGCTGGGAATTGTAGTTCAACAGGGAGTACCTGGAGGGAAAGGCTGCAATGGGTTCCTATCGTGATCACAGGCAAACCACACATACAAGCCTTTGGCTGACTCCAAAATGGGTTCCTGGGAACTCTTCAGAGTGGATGCTGCCTGTATGAAACTGGCCCAACTTGAAAAACATAAGAAGAGTCTTGCTGGATCCGACCAGTGGTCCACCTAGTCAATTCACGGAGCGTTCAGCCAGCTGCCCATAGGAAATGCACAGGTAGGGCAGAAATGCATCAGCATCCTCCAACCCATGTTCCTCAGCAACTGGTGTACATAGACCAACTACCTGTGATGTTGGAGCTAGATGTAACCCTCATGGCTAGTAGCCATGGAGGGCCTTCTTTTCCATGCATTTGTCCAGTCCCATTTTAAAGATGTCCAGATTGGTGGCCATTTCTGCAGTTAATGGAAATGAATTCTAGAGTGGTATAGCTGTGTGCTTTTCAGCTGTCCCAGATCTCCCACCAGTTGGCTTCATGGGATGACTCTAGAATTATGCGGAAGAGAAATGCCTGCCTCTCTACTCCCTTTACACCATGCACAATTTTGTGCAGCTCTATCATGTTTCTCCTTCCTTGTCTTTAGTCTCGGCTAAGCGTCAATAGTGCTAATATAGGTCATGTTCATTTCTCTATCTCTTTGTGCAGAAGGATAGCCTAACAGCGCAGTTCTATTCATACCCAATGTCCTGGGGCATGCCAGGAGTGGAAGGACATTTTTCTGTCCAAATCAGCCCTGCATTCACCCTAAGTGACACTTGCAATCCTTTTGCCTGAGGTAGGGAGATAACCTGCTGGGTATAGGAGATGCTTCCTCTCTTCAGCTGACAGACTGGCAGGGCCACGAGCAGAAAAGCACCATTTTGGCTTCTTTGTGTCTGTTGTATTAATATAACGAGGCATGATGGAGAATATTCATTGGATAAGTATGTATTACCTTGCCTGTTAATCACTTCTTTAGATAATTGTTTCAAAGGGCAGGTTTGTTGAGGCTTGGAAAATGCATGCATACCTGTTTCACTGTAATTAATTGAGGAAAGGGCAGGCAATCAACTAAGTGTGCAGTTGTGTGCATGTTTAGACAGAAAAGCCCTGCAACACCCAGCAATCTCTTGCTAGTCTGGCCTTTTCCTTCTTTTTGGCCATGGTTTTTTTTCCTGTTTAAACATGCATCGGATTGTGCCCTAAATGCCTTAATAATCAATCTTCTTGGATTCTCTGTCCAGAAAAGCCATTCATGGTGGCCTTGCTCACAAGCCCTGCTTCTCTAACCTCTTATGCAGATGTGTGCTAAGAGGAGTGCCCTTTCAATTCCTCACAAAGGTTGTGGCCATGTGCCTGATTGCATTGGTGGCAATTTGTTGCAGACAAAGAATGGCAGGAAGGTATTTTTTGTGTGTCCATAAAACTGTTTAGATCTCTCTTGACAATAAAGGCATCATGTCAGTGTGTTTGTTTTTGTCTGCATCTGCGTTAAAAGAAAAAGCAGAGGTACAGCAGATGCTGGATACACCTGTGATCTGTTGTTCTCTCCTGCTCCCCTTCCTTCCTTCTCTGCTTTTTCCCACAGGGAGTGCTGTCCAACATCTCCTCCATCACTGACTTGGGAGGCTTTGATCCAGTCTGGCTGTTTCTCGTAGTTGGAGGAGTCATGTTCATTTTGGGGTTCGCAGGGTGCATTGGAGCTCTGCGTGAGAACACCTTTCTGCTCAAGTTTGTAAGTAGCCTCACAACTGCTGTTGCAATTTCCTGCTTGAAGGGAATCCTAAGTACAGTCAACAAAGTGTGGCACTTTAGGGTCTTCACTGTGGTCTCTGGGCATCACACATGTGGGCAACTTAGGGTCTTGTAGCACCTTAAGGACTAACACCTTTGCTATGGCATTGGCTTTCTTGGCTGCTGTCTGCGTCATCAGATGCAACCCAATGAAATGGATAATGTCCGTGAAAGCATTTGTGCATGTGACTCCTTCTGACTCCAAAAAAAGGCAAACATGATGGCCTTTAGGTCCATTTCAACAATACACTATTCAAAAAGCTTACTAGCAGCAGATGAATTACTCCGTTTTTATGAAGGCTCAAGCGGAAGGCCATGGTGTCTTGAAAAGAAAGCGAATGCAAAGCAATGTCAGCATTGATTTCTGTTGACTTGGATGTCGCTCATGAGTTGTTGTGCCTTTATGTTGCCTGGGCAAGTCCCCATCTTCATGCATTTTTGGGCCACACACAGATGTTGCTTCACACATCACAGAAAAGCCACAACTGGACGAGGATCTCAGGCAGCGTATTTATGTATCCAGTCCTCTCTTTAGACATTACAAAAAAAACATGGCTCACATACTGTGGAAACACAGGGATCTATTTTCCTGCTGTGCAGCAAATCTGTGAGTCTTTTGCCCTCTGTTTATATTCTATCAGTTCTCACACATCCACATTCCAAACTCATGTGGCATTAGAAACTAAAGACTATCACCTATATACACAGTGGCAAATTAAACAGTTTTATGTTGGTTTCTCTTATTTTGCAAAATTCCATTTCCTTTCATGTTTTATAACACAAGAGCCCCAAGGTGATGCTCCCAAAAACTTGCAGAAAAACTACTCCTGGCTTTGGAGATCTCAGTAGGCCATGCCCACATGCATAAGGACTGGAAAGTTCCATTTCTTTCTTTTTATTTCCCTAAAAAACTTCCGAACAGATTACTGGGAGGCTGAATTACGGTACTGTGGACCGTCTAATCTGGGTGTCATGCCCAGCCCATCCTGTTTTGATGCAACCAGCACATATTCTGCATTGTGTATCAGCATGGAGCTCTGTGTTGAGTTTCTTGGGATTTGGCTGTTGGACTTGGAAACCTACTGATGAAAGACTTGTAAACGACTTTACTAAAAAGCTTCTTCTGCTGTTTCACAGTTCTCAGTATTCTTGGGAATCATCTTTTTCCTGGAACTGACTGCTGGTGTTCTGGCATTTGTTTTCAAAGACTGGATCAAAGACCAGCTGTATTTCTTTATCAACAATAACATCCGAGCATACAGAGATGACATTGATCTGCAAAACCTCATAGATTTTACACAAGAATATGTAAGTGGCCCTTCTGCTTGTACCCACTTAAGAAGATGACTTCTCTACCCTGTCCTTGCCTTTAGATTTCTCACCTGCTTATTACTGAATGGACCAGCAGAAACAAGGTGTGCCCTTATGCCTGTCTCCTCTTGAGTGTGCCTAGGGCAACACCTTCAGTAGGTAGCCATAACCATTAGGAAATTTCTCATGTTTATGTTAATTAGTATTTGGGGCCATTCTTGCTCCAAGTGGTTTAATGTTATCCCCATTTTCATGATGAGGCAAAAAGAACAAGGTTTTGACTGTGCTTATGGCCATAGATTTCATCCAAAACCCAGCAAGTCTGTTGTTGAAGTTGTTGCGAAAGGTATCCAAAATTCAAGCATGCAACATCCAGTGTAGACATCCTGTTTTAGAGAAGTGGCATGAAATGACTTCTGCTGGAACTCAGTACAGTCTAGCACTACATCTGAATATTGCATGAGTGAAAAGGTGTAAACCTGGAGCAGTTTCACCTGGCTCTTTCGACCAGCATGTCAAGAGCCGTAATATTCCCTTTTCTGTTTGCAGTAAAAAGACAGGGCGATCCGGTGATGGTGCGGAATCCCCCAGAGTAATTGTTGTTAGCTTTTCCATTTGTTTAGTGGCAATGCTGCGGGGCGTTTGGCGCAGACGACTGGAACCTCAACATCTATTTCAACTGCACTGACTCCAATGCCAGTCGAGAGCGCTGTGGGGTGCCCTTTTCGTGCTGCACTAAAGATCCTGCTGTAAGTTGGAGTCGGATGGGCAAAAGCCTCCGAAAGGGATATTGCATGTGACAGAGGCTGCCTAAAAGAGCTGTGCGTTTTCTCTTTCTAACTGCATTGCTTTCTTGCTGTTTTCACACTGTGTTATCAGTATCCCCTGTCTGTCCATGCGCCTTTCGTCTTAAGAATGTAATAAGAGCCGAGCAGGATCCGCCCAAGGTCCAGCATCCTGTTTCCGTCGCAGGCTAGCCAGATGCTTGTGAACAGCCCACACTGCACATGAGTGCAACAGCACCCTCCAGCTTGTGTTTCCCAGCAACTGGGGGCACTCTTCTCCAGGTCCCCTGTCTGTACCTCCCAGGCTACTCGAAGGCATGTGTGATAGACTGCAGTCTTCAGACCAGCTGCCTAATTTGACTAGATGAGTGTTATACTGTGAGGAAAAGAAATAAGGCTAATTAGAGACTCCACTCCACAGGCTGGCTAACTTGGCATGCTTGAATGTCATGATTAAGCAGCTACTTGAACAGTAGCTTTGGAAGTAAGATGCCCCTAGTTCAACAGGGCTGTAATCTCCAAATTAGAGAGAAGGACATGCCTTTAAAAATGCAGCTGTTTCAGCCGGTTTTTCTCATTCTTGCTTTAGTGGAAACCTGTGGCTTGTGTGACCAAATTCCCTGCCTACCAAAAATTCCCTCCATGTGGAGACAGCAGCATGTCTGAAAGCAGCATTCAGTTTACCTGTCTTGCCTTCCGTGCCCAGGGAAGTGAGTGCAGAGGGTCTGGTGAGCCCTCACCTGTGCCCCTAAAGCACAGATGATTTAACACCCCAGTGAGAACAAAGCCTGTGTTTTGAGTGAGTTAGTCATAGGGTGGGTGGAGAAGAGCATTTTGAAAATGATGTAAGCGTACTGACATACCTTTGGGTTTTGTCTTGGCTTGTAGGAAGACGTCATTAATACTCAGTGCGGCTATGATGCCAGGCAAAAACCAGTAAGTCTTCATTTGTTCCTCTGTGTAGCTGCTGTGAGAAGGGATGTGGGGAAGCAGAATGCCAAGGCATGTGTTGGATGACTGTCATTTTTTGTCACCTCCACCAGGAAGTCGACCAGCAGATGGTTATTTATACAAAAGGCTGTGTTCCACAATTCGAGAAATGGCTGCAGGACAACCTCACTATAGTTGCAGGCATATTCATTGGAATTGCATTGCTGCAGGTAAGACACCCTTTTCTTTTACAGATGACGGCAAAGCCCCAAGAAAGAACCTGAAGGCGAAAATGGGAATAGAATACGTCACTGGAAACCAACTTGTAAATAGATGTGTTAAATATTTTTATAAAAATGGAACAGTGTGTGTGAACCTTTGATCTGTTGTAAAGAATGGCCATGTTCACATGATCACTGCAGTATCAATAAGCAAGCCACAGTACCTTGTTTAAGCTACAGAGCATCCTAATACCAGCTGCGCACCATGTGCATGGCTTGTCATGTTATCCAAACCTAGGTAGGGTGGTTTGTTGGAGTGGGAAGCAACCCTCAGGTAACACATGGCCTGTTGTCGGGTTATTTAGGAGTTGATTCCCTCCCCACCTCCAGCAAGCCATGTGGGCAATTAGGCAGATGTTTGCTGGCACATGTTGGTACATGCTGAGGCTTAAACAAGCCACTATGACTTGGTTAAGGTGTGGTGAGTCTGTGAACTGACTCAGTGTGTCCTGTCAAAGGACATCTTGCTGCATTTTTACTTCATGAATTGCACATGGTTAAAGCAGGATGGTAATTGTAGTGATTTTGGTGGAAAATTGTTGTTTATTTACTAAATAAAATGACATTCAATATAGCTAGCAATCAAAAATAGAGATTAAAATAATATCTAAATGAAAGCATAACAAAAGCAACAGTTAAAAACGCAGCAATTAGAAATAGTATTCAACCAGTTACCATTTCCTTCAGTATTAGACCAAGAACTCTGCCTGAAGAGCCTGTTGGTGGAAGGACAGCAGAGGGTGGACCAGCAGAGTTTCCCTTGTGAGGCAGAGCCTGGGAGTGGTCACCAGGAAGGCCCTCTTTATTATCCAGACCAACATGCCTTTGATGGTACATCAGGACCAAGAGGAGACCTTCCACCAGACACCTCAGACCTTTTCCCCGTATGGGGAGAAGTGGTATTTTGAAGAGCCTGGTCCCAAATCATGTAGAGCTTGATGAGTCAGAACCAGCACTTTGTGCCTGGGAACAAAGGAGTAGTCCGTGAAGCTGTTATAAAGACAGTCATGTGCTGCCTGGATCAGGGCCTGGCCATGGGTGTGGTTGCAACATTTTGAACCAGAGGAAGGTTCCGAACAATTTTCAAGGGACGCCCTGCACATGGTGTGCCTCAGTAATCCAGGCAGGATGTGGCATGTGACATCATGGACAGATCAGACAATCTCCAGGAATCTCCAGTAGCTGTATTACTTGAACATTCAAAGATCATAGTCGAGTGCAGATAAACGTGCGGAGGGCTGTCGCTTGCTCTCTGAACTGATTTTTGACTGACCTTTTCTGTTCGTTTCTTGGTGCCTCCAAGTCTTGGCTCTTCTAACACCAAAAAGCCTTTCTGGACAAAAGAAAGGCAAAAAGTTGGTGGTTACGGGCTTCTGTTTGGTTTCCTATTTGAGGTTGCACAGCTTCTGTAGCAATTAGAGGACCTGGTATATTGAATGTTCTTTAAGGGCTGTGCTGTAGTCTCAGTTCTGGCTACTTGGGCTGTTCACATTTTCACAGGGGCTGTTCTAGGCCCCTCTTTCCACAGCGCCCAGTGTGCTTGCCCCCAGTCTTCAGTGAGAGTGCACCGGAGTGGTTTGTGGCTATGATTGTGTCTAAGAGAAGGTGAGACTTCAGGGGCGCCTATATCGGCGCAACCCTGTTTCTGCCCTTGCAGCCCAATACCAGCTAACTTTTGTGTCTCATTTCTTCCAGATATTTGGGATCTGCTTAGCTCAGAACCTGGTTAGCGATATAGAAGCTGTCAGAGCCAGCTGGTAAACTCACTGATGTGAACAGTGCAAGACACTGGACAACTTTTGACTCCTGGAAAGCTCCAGCATGTTATGTGGACGCCCAGCTATATGGAAATGGTTGATGGAGAAATATCAAGTTCTCAAATAGCTGGAACAGCATCAGGCCCTTGTTTTCTCTAGAGGGGACATCTCCTAACACCTGCTTACTGATACAAGCTTTTAAACACTCCAGTTTGAACTGTTTCAAGCTGTGAATCTCTACTGTATCCTTGACTGGGTAGCTGATGGATGTTCCTGTTTGTGTGTGCAGTAGATGAGCTGTGCTAGTTGGAACCCTCCGTCACAGCACAGTTTAGTAGATGCACCGTCTATTCCGTTTCACAAACTTGTTGGTTGCTGCCAGACGTGAGGCCATTTCTCTCTCTGTTGCACACTGACGGCATGGTGTGTTTTTCAACAGACAAAGAGACCTGGCGCTCCTGGAAGAAAACCCATCAAATAGAAAACCACTTGGATGCTTTACTTACTGGCAAGAAGTAATCCCTCTTCCACGGGACATTCAAGATCTGCTCTTTAATGCCCTCTGTTGGGAACCATTGACTTTATTTCTCAGCCTCTTTCTTGCTACCTTATTTCACAAAGAGTGGTGATGATGAAAATGGAATTTGCCATCCCAATAAGCAGATAAAAGGGAGAACCTGTGGCTGTGATCCTTCTTGGCTACTTCTAACAGTTAGTAACATGAAATTCAAGCAGAGGTGTGAAACGCCAAGGCTTCACACTGACTAAAGAGAATGAAGAAGTATGGTGAAGGTGAAAAGGAAAAAATAGTGTACCAAATTTGGGATAAAATTGTGAATTCTATGGAAATAAATATGTTTGGAACAGTTTTTGGATTCGACATGGGTGGATGCCCCCTCAAAAGCTACGTGCTTCTTCCATTTCCTTTCATTTTCTGCATGTGGTTGTTAAAATACTTTGGAATCTATTCAATGTGAATTGTTCTTAGTATCTGTTCTGAATAAGCTTCTAAATGCCAGTTTGCTAATTTATTAGTGTAAAAGTGAATGGCCTGGTAGACAATTTGGCATTTTTAAATTTTGCAGCTAGAGTTTCTTCATTGGCTTCATTTCTGTTCAGTTATTCCTGACAGTTGCTTGAGTCTTCCCTCCTTCCCTCTCCCCTTTTCCTTAAATTAGTAGTACATTATTTACATTATTTAAATAGATCACAAAGGCTTTTAAGAAGTGTGAGGTAACCTTTAGATTTTATATTTTTGGAGCAGAAAAATTTGGAAGAAGTGCAAGTATAGTGCTCCACCTGGAACCGTAAAAGTTTGTTGCTTCTTGTTGTTGCAAGTATGATTCATTGCAATTTGTGGGTGTTACTTCTGGTGAATGTGTCAGGGTCTGGGAATAGGTGTGTATATTTGATTTATATTTAAGTAGCAATGAATAATGCAAAGTTGATGGTGCCTTCCGTGAAATAATTGAATTTAACTTTTCTTTGCAAGAAGCTAGAGTTGGGCTTAATCCTGTTACATTTGGAGATGCGAGAATCCATTAATTTCTTTTCAGTGCATGGCAAGGAAGATTAATGTCTTAAGATGGAGTACAGCCTGGAGGAATATATTTCCAGATACCAGTCTGCATAAGGATTTAGGAACCCTAATTTGATAAAGAAAGCCGAAGCAAAATCATGATAAACTGCTTCTTCATAAAAGCTATTCTTTTATTTCTGCTGAAGGTTATGGTCCAAATTAATGTCTTCTCCAAAGGTGCCCCCTGCCACCTTGCAGGCCGCCATGGCTGAAATTTGGTGGCATAGCTACCACCAAAAACACAACAAAACAGAACACCTCCCCAAATCAGTGGCAGGCAGCTGATTTTTGCAAAGTTGTTTAGTTGTTTTTTGGCAGATCTCGGCAGTGTGGGAGATAAGTAAGAGGCCGAGGAGGAAAATATGTGTGCTACATATGTTGCCTCTTCTGATTTGGGAACTTGATGGTGCATAGGGAACAAATCCTTTTGCCTGGCAGTGGCAGGATACACTAACAAATCCAAGATGCTGGCCTGCTGCGTGCAGCACTGGGTATGCTAAAGAAACCTTCCTTGCTGATGCGGATGCTAGTGCAGGTATCTTTCTGCTTGGACCTCTGCAGCTTTGTTATGACTGACTCTGGCCTTGTTTTGCCTCTCACCATCGTGTTGCTTTCCCCATTGCCAGGCATGAGTTTCTGCAAGCGCTGGTGCATGTTATCACTGTATTGTGACTTCCTTGTCATAATGATGAAGCTGTCTTGCTAATGGGCCACCAGTATGAGGCTAGCTGTATTTGGGGGGTTCTGATAATCGACTAGGTGGGCAGCATCCAGAGGAGCTGTCTTACTGGTTTCAGAGAAGAGTACAGGAGATAAAATAGCAACCTTCTCTAAAACCTTTGAACTTGTGTCACGTGCATGCATAATGGGTGTGTTTCTCAGGATCCTGCAGGAAATTGAGAACAACCGAGGGCACAATTCTGTGCATGTTTAGGCAGAGTAAAGTCCTACAGCGCCCGGTATGCCCCAGCCAGCCATGCTGGAACTTGTAAGCCCTTTCTTCCTGTCTAAATATTCATAGGACTGCACTGTAAATGTGTTTTTCTTTAAAATAAAGCTCATCATTACATTTCTTCTGTTCTATATCACTCTTGCAAATGGATGAATAATCACAATTCCTTTAGTTGTTTGAGACGTATAGCCTTGTTAACACCCCGTATAAAGTGTTCTGGTCTCATAGGGTTCAGGAGTCCCACACTTGCCTCTGAAATTGAGCCCTTTGGAAGAAGTTTCCAGCGAGCTCTCTTTTGGCAAATTCTACTCTTAACAATGAGTGTTCACTATCTGGTGTAGGCTTCGAAGAACATCCCTGTTTGGTTTACATGATGATGGACCCTGTCTGATTTAAGATGCATCAAATTATGAACAGAGGCAATTTCATAGATCATGTGTGACTTTAAAAACCAAGCATCTGCCAGGTACCTGATCATGGAGGGTGACATCGGAATGTTGGGATGCAGTCTCTTTAAGTCTTTTAAACTGTCTACAAATTAATTCCTGGAGCCGTATTTGATTTCCGTATTAGTTTTAGAAGCCACAAGAGCATGTATGTTAAAGTGAAGCATGTCTGCAAGAGCAAACCTCAACTAACGTATTGAGTATCAGTTAGCTTTTGTACGTTGTTTCTCAGATCAAAGTGTCTTTATTATAGAGGAAGACCAGCTGACTTCCACCATGATCAGGTGCAAAATAATGAAAAATGTGGAAGAGGGAGCGTGTGTGTAAGGTGGGGCACATGCAAACCATGCACTCCATTTCAGGGTGTCCAGCAGATTAACTTCCTTCCTAAATGGTAGCTGTCACCTTGCTTTCTTCACCACTTTTTCACTTCTGAGAGGGTTTGAATCTAGTGTGGACAGCATTTTGAGATATCCCTCTAAGGAATATGAGCCTGCAACTGGCCAGCCATCTGGTTTAATTTGGGGTTCTGCACTGAGCAGGTGGTTGGACTGGATGGCCTTCTGGCCCCTTCCAACTCTTACTGTTCTATGATTCTAAAACATCCCAGAACTGTGCATCTTTCAAGTCCCAGTGCTTGGATGTGACTCTGACACAAGGAGTGGCTGGACCTTCCCAGTCAGCCCTCCAAGTTGTGCCATGTGTCTGCTTTGAACCGGACGGTTAGGATCAGTAGGGTGCAATCCTGTGGCCTTCTAGTGTTGTCTGGGAGAGCATAGGATTGTCCAGAAGCTGAGCACCAAGCATCTGTGCTGCCTCCTTGCAGCCAGTATGGAAAGAAAAGTGTGGGCTGCTCCCCAGGTTTCAACATCAATTTGGTGGGCAGGGAGAGGAGGAGACTGGGGCCATGGAATTGGGCCGATTCCACTTGGTATTTCAGCCTCTTCCCCTTCTTCCTTCTCTTTTTCTTCCTAGTGCTAAATCTAGCTGTCTGAAAATGGTCATCTACATAAAATGCGGTGCATAAAATGCCACCTCTACACCTCACCCCTTGCACTGGATGCTTGTAAGCATCTGAATTTGCTGGGTGGGGGTGGAGTGATAGGATTGCATCCTTAGAAACTAATGTTCCCAGCCTTGTTGCATGTTCTTTCTTTGCTTATCTCGTTGGACCACTTCTCTTTTTGGGTAAGAAATGAGTCTGAAATAGGCAACTGCAAAGGATGCCCCCCACCTTGCCTTCTAAGAATGGAAGATACAGGAAGTTTGTTGCTTGGTGTGTGACCCAGGACTGCCTGCTTAACCAAGTATGCACCAATGTTGGACTGTGTGTTGTCTGCTAGCTAGCTTAGAGCGTTGAATTCAGAGCCTGCTCATCTGTATTTGCTGGATGGATGCTCAACAGTTGCAAAGAGATAGTACCAATTCCAAGAACCACTTTTCAGAGTCCTTCGAGTTGTAGGTCAGTGTTTGTATTTTTCCCCCCACTATGCACTTGCTTCGTGGACCAGTGAATTAATCTGGGCAGAGGCATATCGAACTCTGTATTGTGTTGTTGTTGCTTTAAACTTTCACTTCAGTAATTGCAGCATCTAGAAATACTGAATTCTGTGTTGAGTGATCCCTTTTGGTCCTCCCTCGCTTTTTTGTGTTGATGCACCTCCTGCTTTTGGTGCTTAGTCCTCTTTTCTTTCAGCCAGATGCTAATTTTGTTGGAACCTTGCCTTTCTTAGGTTCCATCTGGTGTGTAAATATTCTTTTAAATGTAAATAATAGCATGCAAATGAACTGCTCCATGCACAGGATTGTGCTTCATCTTACGTGTGTATTTATACAAAAAAGGATGTATGAAATTAGTTTGGCTGCCCATTTTAAAACTTAAGCTTCCTATAGTTGTCTGTTCTTGGAATGCTTTGATAGTCCCCCATCTAGTGTCTGCTTGACAGAATTGCAGCTTGACAAACTGCCCACAAACTTTATTTAAGAGCTACTTTGCATTTCTTGCTTTTACTACCCACTTTGTGCATCGATAATATTGTTAGTTGCTATAGTTGCTACAGGGGCATCATCTCCTACTGTTTTGTCCTACTAATAAACTGATATTTTCATTGGTTGTACTTACCAAAGACAGCAGAAGGAAATCCTTGAGGTCTGCTCTCCTGCAATGCCTGCCTGGTCAGAACGCTAAGCACAGTCCATCAAATACCTGCATGGACCTGAGCATGTCCACATGCACCATGCTCTAGCCATGCTTCCAAAGCATCATTAGAGGGAGCCTCCAGAGATGCATTTCTGCCACTTAGCGCTGTACTAGGAAGGGTTTCCTAGTACATTGGGGTGGAAGTGTGCCTGTGGGACTGCCACTGCTTTGTTTTTACAGCTTCTGAACCTTTTCATGCTGCTGTTAAACATGCAGGAATTAAGTTATCAAACATCTTGTAAAAACAGCGGGGGACTACATACCTTGCTTTGGCCAACGGTGAGGCCAGTGCCAAGGGCAGGGGGCTTTTATGCCAGCTCTTCTTGGGTCAGACATGGTTTTGAGGGCAGGTTGTACAGAGTGCATTCAGTCCTTGAAAGGAGCCATGCTCCTGATGCAGCCTGATTCTGTAGGAGCATCTCATCTTATACCTTGTATATACAACTTATCTTGAACATGTGCTATTACTTTTCAACAGTTTAATGCCAACTCTTGATGCTTCCAGACTACCTGTGGTTCTCAGCCTTTCTTAAAGTATAATCAGAAAAAAACCTACCCATCTGTATTTTCATCTTTCCACTTAGGGTTATTTCAACACATTACTCCTTAAAGTCTGTGTTCCAGGATGGACCTGATGACTTGCACAGAGGCCACCAGCATGTCCTCCACAGAGCATGGTGCTGGACCCGGTGGCCTTATTGACCCCTTCCAGCTCTGTGTCTGGGGGAAATATGTTTGTTGGGTGCAAATGTTGCATGGGCTTTTTCGAGACCAGATGTTTCAGGGTAGATTTATGGCCCGGACAGATTTCCTTCAGGCTCCTGCTTGTAGCTTTCCTGGACAATCCATTGTGATAAACATTTTGTGTGTGTGGCTTTGCAGAAATGGTCCCCACAACATGTGGAGGAGAACAAGCTTCTGGGCTTCACAGAAAGGGTGATGTGGTGGGCAATACCTGAATAGTATTGGTATTGTGTTGCATCAGGAGTCCCCCCCCCCCCCCGCCCCAGCAGTATATGAAACTTTCTCTAGGCGGTCGAGGGATTCATGATGCCTTCTCCTAATCCTCAGTCCCTCTTCTAAGATTTTGCTCAGGCGGAAGATGATGTTCCTGCAGTGGATGAACAGGTACAATTGCCTCACTCATGAATACCCATAAGTCCAAAAAGCAGAAATGCACAATCTTCGTTCCTATTTCAACTTCAGTGTGTTCCATACCAAAAAGTTAAATTGACTCGGGTGGAAGGGGACACCTATGATTTTTGGAATGGGTAAGCACTGAACCTGGCCTCTTCCTTCTGCAGCCGTGCTTCCTTGCCTAGTGCCTCTCCTTTGTACATGATGTTGTCGTCATAGAGGAAGAGAAGCCGTGCACTTCGGGAGTTAATAGGTTACCCAAGGATTGCTTGACCTGTGAGAAATTTACAGTTGTTTGAGCTGCACGGTGCATTGGACCAGCAACTGTAGAGCAGTTGTGGGGTGGAGAGCGTGTATGTAAGCTCTTGTTAATTTAAGCATCTAATAAAGCTCAGTATCATCCATACTGAAACAGGGTAGATGATACTTCAAAGTATGAATGATGGTAAAAGAAGCTATACCTGTAAGGGCTCCGTCCTTTGGCCATCTGGCATTGTGTGGGGAACACGAGATAATTTGGGGGCCCAATTCCAGAGTTCTGCCTGCAGAACTGGTGCCCCATCCAAGCTGCATCTCCAAGGTCATAAACTTGGACAGGGCTAAAAAGGCTTGCTGGGTTTGTGGGGAGGGGAGGCTGGGGCTGACAGCTTACACTGTATCCAAATGTCTCCCTAGCCACCTTTCTGCCCTCTCTGTGGCACTTCGTCCAGATCAGGTGTCCTCAGACTTTTCCACCACGGGGCCAGTTGAAAGGTGCCGGTGCCGGGCATGGGCCGCAACAGTGGTGCCGGCAGCGCGCACGGGCCGGAGCGAGGGCGACGCGTGTGGGGCGCGAGGCGAGGTGGGGCGAGCTGGGGGCGGGTGCACGAGGCAGCGGCTTGCTTGCTTGGAGATCGTTTTCTCTGAGAGCAAACCGCTGCCTCCCCCTGCGTGGGGCGAGGTGGCTGGCGGTGGGTGTGTGCGTGGGCACGGACGCTCACGCGGCGGGTCCAAATTGGCGTGGCGGGCCGGAGAAATGGGCGTGGCGGACCAGATCCGGCCCCTGGGCCGTCGTTTGAGGACCTATGATCTAGATGGTCAAAAACGGCTGTTGAGATGAAGCACAGGACACAAGGTGTGGAGCTGTGGAGGTGCCTGATGCCACTGCCCCTTGGGTGCATGTCAGTCTGTTTGGAGGCTTGCATCTAGGGCAGGGGTCTCAAACGCAACTTACCGGGGGGGTCGCTGGGAGTAGAGTCTGGGTGAGGCTGGGCTGCATCAAGTATTCCATAACCGCGGTGGTGGTGGGCCGCTCATCCCGCAGCTGGCCTGGGCGCCGCCGGCGCTTTGAAGGCCGCAGGGCCCCTCCGCCGTGCCCCGCCCATCCCGGCAATTGGCCCGCGGGCCGCGCGTTTGAGACCCCTGCTCTAGGGACACAGCACAGGAACTGCTAAGTGCCTCACGAAAAATTAGCCTAAAGCAAACGTTCTGGTCCTATTCAAGCACTGAAAAAAATTAGGCATAGGGGTATCTATGAATGCCTAATTCTCAAATATTAATAATATTGATTTAACTTCCAGCTGTCTGTTCCCTAAATGATTGCACGTTGTAATGAAGGGCACTCGCTGCATTGTGTGTTTTCTTTTTATACGAATGTATTCTTTGTTGAGCGTCTTGTAAATTGCAAACAATTGATTGTAAAAACCAATTACACTTACTGATGATGGAAAGTATTGTTATAAGAGAACTGCATGCCAGTACTGTTTGACTGAGATTGTGTTGTCTCATTTCCATTTGGTCACGCTCGGTCTAGAAGTGGATATATTTTGCTTATTTGTCAACTTTCCTTCACATTTAGAATAGTGTATATTGCAGCCCATTTCAGTGGATGTAACTGGACTTATACATGAAGTTAACACAACTTCTTTGTGTTCATTTTTAAGGTACTGAAAGTGGTCTTCATCATGCTCTTTGTACCTTTTTTTTAAATAGATGCAATTTTTAGGAATGTTTTAATACATTTATGATGGGCAACATAGTTTTACTAGTTGTGCAGTATTCTGTATTTTACTTGAAGTAAATCATTTTATATGCAATTTGTTAGTATAATTAAGTTTTATAAATAAAATTGAGTGACATTTTGTGTCTGCTTTTCACTCTCAGATGTACAAAACAATTCCTCTTATTGCTAAACTAGATGTGTTAAAAGCAGCATTAGATAATGGTTGTAACTGGGAAGATAAATATCTGTTAAACTTATAAAAATTTGCACCCTTGGTGTATTTGTCTGTGACTGGAATTATGCTAAGATCTTGTGGTGGTGAAGAAAAGCCACCAAGCGTTGCAACAGAATTCTTGCTTTCATTTGGAAAGAGAAGTCTTTCTAGTACCCACAGAACATGAAGATAAGTAAACCCAGGTAAGTTCCCAGAAATTGTCTGCTGCCCACCGTTGTGCAAGAACGTTTGGAAGAACTAATGAGAAAGTAAAAAGTGTTAGGGTTATGGTGCCTCTGCAGCACTTTTTATTTTCACCCAGTATGTTTCAGGAAATGCTTTCCATCATAGGGAGCTGCTTGTCTTCTGCTTCATGTGTTATGCCAGTGTGGTGTAGACTCAGGTTAAGACTGAGGCTGTACACTCAGCCATGGAGACAACTGAGTGGCTTTGGGCCAGTCAGATTCTCAGTCCAACCTTCCTCACGTTGTTATGGTGAAAAATTATGCAATTACCCCCCCCCCTTTACCTATTTTTGAGCACAGAAGTCACTTACCAGGAAGAATGTTAGCCATGCCGACTGCTTTCTTGAAAGACAGATTAACTGCTGGCCATGGCTTCTAGTTCTCGAAGGGAAAGAGTTGCAGTTTCATATATGGTGACTCTCCCTGCCCCATGACAAGCAATAAGCAGCTAAATTTATGGCGAATAAAGGTGCAAGCAATCCTGCTGAATCTACATAATTTGGACAGTGGCAATCCCAGAATTTCTTGATGTATTTTTTTTCTTTTAATGCAAAGCACATGCTGACCTGACTACAGCAGTGTGGGGACTGTAAGACTGCTTACCTTCCTTCTTTCCACACATTCCTAAGTATAAGCAAGTTCAGGTATACCTAATTGTTGGAACTTGTAAGTCATGCTTAGCTATAGTTGTGCTTTTTGTGCCAATAAATATGCTAGCTGCTATTAAATTGCATGCAATCTTTCCTTCCTTGCTTTATGGCATTTCTTTTTCCTGTTTCTGTTACCTGAAAAAAGTGCAGCAGTGCTTCCCAATATAAACTAAGTATGACTTTATATGGGAAGGGTTTCTCCCTCCCCCTCCCCCCTCCCCCCTTCCTTCCTTCCTGTTTTGGACTCTTGTATCTCCTCGTCTGGGAGGGACCATACTAGTAGCTCTGAATAAATACATGCAAGACTGCACAAGCAGTTATTCATCTGTGCAGCAAGAGAAAAAAATTCTGATCAGGATAAATAACGCTGTACCAGCCTTCCCCAACCTGGTGGCCTTAAGAGGCATTTGGACTGCAGCTCCCCAAAATTCCCATCCATCACAGCCATTGACTGGGAATTCTGGGTGCTGCAGTCCAAAGTTGTGTGGAAGACACAAGGTTAGGGAAGGCTGCCCTATACCATTCTGGATGTGGAGGGGGCGAAACCCAGCCTAGTTTTGGCTCCTCTGGGAGCAATTGAAATGCAACTGTTCTAGGTGGTGATTTATAATACAGCGATGAGAAAGATCAGTTCATGTTTTGCACATGTCCTGAAACTTAGTAATTTACGATTTAACCCAAAATATACAAGAGCTGATATGTCCTCTCAGAAGGCCGGAACCATGTCTGTAATCCACAAGGGCTGGAAAAATTTCATATGACAGTGACCCCATCTGTGTGTCTCCATGAGCAAATCAAGTATGATAGAAGGTTAGCTCCTTTTTAAAAACAAGTGATGTGTAATCTGAAGCTGGTGTGTAGTCTTACATAATGCAAATACCTGGGTACTTGATACAAAAGGATTTAGGATTAACACTGCCTGCACTGCTAGCTTTATGACTCATCCTAACATAGCTCTTCCACTGTCAAGATTACTGAAGATCCAGGAATTTAAAAAAAACCCTTCCCAGAAATGAACTGATACGCAAATACAAGCCACAGGGTAAAGTGTGAGAGCACTGGAATTTATTTGTTTGTCTCTAGGTACCACGGGATTGACATTAATAGGTAAGACCAATGAATGAGCAGCAAGACTTCCTTCACTCATCCCATTGTGGTGGTGTTCCTAAAAGCACTGAAACGAGCATGCGACTCCCTGCCTAGCTTCTCTGAAACCTCACCTTGCTGGCAGTCCAGCCCGGGCCTTGCTGCCTCCTGGTTTTTGTCCCTAAGTTAGCAGTACACTGTTACGGAGTTAGGGCTATGAAGGGAAAAGTCATCACTGTAGTGCCACGTAACATTATTATAGGACTACACATGCATATTCTACTATGTGGCCCAAGCAACGCGAATACGAGTAGAACACCGACAGGGCTGGAGATTCTGTGTGTGTGTATGAGAGAACATACCCATACCCAGGATCCTGCAATGATGATTGGCTATGGGCTCTTAGAAATCGTATTTGAGAGGTACCTACAGCAGTTCGATCAGTGTGAGCATGTTGCATGCACAAGTGACACAGTGGGGGGAACATAGCAGGAGCGGCAACAGGACAAGATGGAAGGTGGAATCGGTGACGCGATGCTATGTGGGGTTGGGGTGCCCTTCCTCAGCTTTCCACGGCGAGTCTCTGCTCTGTGAGGGAAGCCTGCTGGGCGACCGTTTTGTTCTCGTGGCTGCGGAGTTTTGATACGACATCTAGAAAGGCCAGGCTCTGTACTTCCTTGTGAAGGAGTTCTGTCAAACAGAAGCAAGACAGTTACTTCCCTGCTGGGTCTTTGTGTGTAGTTGTTCTTTTGTCCAGATTTTCTGGGAAAGCCGAAATGAGCCTGGTGCACAACATGGCTGAGAAAAGAGCGTAACAACAGCAAGCAAGATTCTTCAAGCAACTTCCATAGAGGTAGCCTATCAAAACAAGCACTTCTGTCCCTACTCTGCTAGTGCACAAATAGCCACTTTTTCAGTGCTGCAATCTGTAGAGAGAAGTGGGCCTAGGTGGGGGTGGGGGAAGAATAGCACGATGGATTAGGGCTGTTTCCATCCCAGGATCTCTGAACCATTCCATCTTTTTGTCTTCTACAATAAGGAATTCCTGAGAGAAGCACTGAGAAAATACAGGAATATGTTCATTTTGTCTCCATTCCCCACACAATAAATTCCTGTGAATGTGGCAATGAAGGCCTGAAAGGAAAGCTTCCTATAGCTGCTGCTGTCTCTGTGACTGGGTTCATACAACACGGTGGGTTCACCTGGTCACACAAGCTTGGACCAGTTGTTGCAAGGTGGCTTGTTTGATGGCAACAAGCCACTCTGACAGCACATGGGTTGTACCTATGATGGCTGTTATGTTCTTCAAAGTGGGGGACTGACCCCACTGTGGGCAGCAGGAACAGACTACTGACTGGTCAGCAATACCGCAAAACCACTTACTGCTCTCGGCAAGTGACTGCCGCTGCCAATTGGTATTTCTGTAAAATGCCGCACTCTAGTTTTTTGAGACTTTTCCTAAATCCCACTTGAAAAATGGAGCTTTACCTTGGGGAGTTACCAGAGTGAAAGGTCCTAGTTATGTAATTGGCTGGATCCTACTTTGCTTTTTCCCAAGGCAGCAGAAGGTCAGGAACAAGTGCAAAGGTGAGGGCACCCTTGGGATGCGTGTGCAAAAGAGAAAAACATGAGGATTGCTGTCACAGTAGGAAAAGAAGTGACAATTTGGTCTTCCTGCAATGCTCTCCAAGATACCCAGGCAAGGGCGTGGGCCAACAACCCATGGCAAGTTCATTGTCTGAAAGGGGCACTGTAAGGTTTTCACAAGGCAGCCAGCAGACGATGACTCATTGCTAGGGTGGGTTGTTTTGAGGTGCAAGTATGCCCTGCGTGATGACTATGTGAAGGTTCAGCAGCTCTCCTGAACGAAAGAGCTCTTTGAGAAAACTATTTACCGTATTTTTCCGTCTATAAGACTCCCCCATGTATAGGATGCCCCCCACTTTTCCTACCCATCTCCAGCAAATAAGCTGCTGCCGTGCATGCGTGCCACTTCGACACCTCCCCCCCGCAGTGCCTCGCTGCCCCTCCCATGTGTGCCTGCGGGCCCCCCATGTATAAGAAGCACTTTCATTTTTTAGGAAATGTTTTAAAGAAAAAGAAGCGTCTTCTACATGGAAAAATACGGTATGTATGACAGCTTGTGGCTCAGAGGCTACTGTGGGAGGGCCAAGGGAAAAAACAGGTATCCTGTAGACTGGCCTTCTTTAGCTCACAGAATGCAATGTGTCACCTTCCTGAGTGTCACTAAATATGGGTAAGAAGCACCTGATGAGCACGCGGATGGCAGCAGCGGTAAGTGCTTCTTAGGTGCCACTGCCAGCCGCCACGTCTTCTCAATCTGGCAGCTGTTTCTTCAGTGGAACCAACAAGGACTACTCAGTCGTTAAGGCTTCAAATGAGTGGTGGCCAGAAGGGCAACCTGCCTTTGTCATTATCTCACCTCACAGTTTGAAAAACCAAGTCTCTAGAATGCGTATTTCCATAAAATCAGAAATTTGGTGCATATGGAAGCTTACTGGTGCCTACAAAACAATGGCTGTGATGCTGATGCCTTTAGTAAAAAAGTGCTTGTCGAGGAAGCCCACCATGCCACTTCTGTAAGTGTCAAGGCAAGCTGCAGGATGCCAGCTTGTTTGGCATTATCTGTTGGACCTTCTAAAATCTGAAGAGAAAGTCATGTGTACACACAAGAAGAAGCCTGCTTCTAAGACCATCAGCCTCTCTCCTCTGACTGGCACTGGCTTTGAGCAGAGGTTCTACTCACCAGGTTGGTGGCCCTTTAACTGGAGCTCTCAGGAACTGAATCCGGGACCTTCTGCATAAGCAAGAGGTGCAATACTTAGCTACAGCCTTCCCTATGCAAGGGGCAGTGAATATTGCTGAAACTGGGCATCTTTGATAGTGCTGTAAAGTGGGGACTGCATGTACATGAGCACAAAATTGTATTAACCTTTACAGAGAAGCTGTATGTAAAGAAGTTCCAGCACAAGTAAGGGAAATCATTGTCTGTCTAAATACGTCTTTGCCAGTGCATTTTCCTTCTGGACTAAGTCAAAGGTTCACTGCAGAGAAAACTCAGCTTGAAATGCGCTGAAAGTAGGGACCTCAGGTCAGCATGAGGTGGTACAAACATGTTTTAGAATGCACCAAGGAGGGTTCCTGCCACCCCTCCCCCTTTGAACTGTTGCTGTTATTAGCCGTCAAGTTGTCTATGACTTGATGGCTAGCCGATGAATGAAAGCACTTCAAAATGTCCTGTGCATGACAGCATCTTTCAGTTCTTCAAAGCTGGAGGCTGTGGGCTCTTTAAAGGAGTCAATCCATCTCATATTTGGCCCTCCCTTTTGCCTTTGGCCTTTGATGTCCCCAAACTTTCCCCTGAATACCCCCAAATAATGCTGCATGGATGATTTAAGCACAATTACTTAAGCTGTTGCCATTACATTTAGGCCCTGTGCATGTTTTAAAAATTCACATGTACACCAAGATACCAAAATGCTCCTCACTTGCAATCTCCCCTGAAAATGGTGTGACAAACTATTTTTGGCAGTCCGTGTCTCCTCTACTGCTTGCTGGGTAGCATTTTTCAATGTGCAGCTAGACTTTCAGCCCTTTCCCCCTTTTAATGAGCCACCTGCACAGACATGCTCAGAGTCAAGTCCCTGAGAAATGGTGGATGGTGTCCATGTTTGTACTGTGTTCCTTTACTAAGACCGCCTTTCAACTGCATTGCTAGTGTAGCTTTAAAAAAAAAGAACAATTAACATGCAATTTAAAAAGTCAAAAGCTAGTGAATTATAAAAGCAACATGAGACAAGCCCAATTAAAACTGCACACAGCACCCGTGTGATGCAGTGGTTGGAGTGTGTCACTGGGTTTCTGGCAACCCAGCTTGTAGTCCATATTTGGTCAGCCCACTGGCTGACACTGGGTCAGTCACCAACTTTCAGCTTAAACTCTCCAACGGGATTTTTCTAAGGATAGAAGAGAGAGGAGGTGGACCATCTAAGCTGCCTTTCATTTCTTACATGGAGAAAGTAGTATATACATGAATAATTAATAAAGAATAGAAACTAAAAAGCTTTGTCCAGTGCTTAGAGGGCTAGGTGCCGGACAAACATCTCTTGAGCAAGTGTTCCAGCACTGGGTGATTCCACGGAGAAGAGCCTCTCTCCAGGGGCCACTAGCCTCCCCCTGCAATGCCACTGCTCAGGTGGAACGGGCAGACTAACCTCAGGCCGTCTGAATAGTCACACAAGGCATCATTAACATGCAATCCTGCCAACTGCACATGTATCAAGAATGTGCAAAGGCACCATCTTTATTTACTGAGAGGCACACAATTCCTTCAAATTGCAGTGCAGTAGCTGTTCTGGTATTAAAAAAAACTATGCTTAGGACGTTAGGAAAAAAGTTCCATGCACTAAATTTGATGCAACGTATATGCTGTGTTAATTCACACAGCTGCCTCTCACTGGTTTCTCCTAGCTAACATACTAGCATGTATCAACAAAGGAAGAGTGGAAAAGCAATGCAGATGTGTAACACTCACACATTTGTTTGCTTTTTGAGAACATCTTGAACTTGGCTAACACAGCTGGAAACTCACGGTTTATAGGTGATGAAAAGCTACTTTAGGCTTTAGTACTATATGATAATGTGCAGATGCAAACTCCGATGGGCGCTTCCACATGAAGGACTCCTAGTGCTACAATCAAGAAGGCACCATGCAGCAATTCAGTCTCTTGCTGCCTCCGCTTTTCCCTAATGGATTTTCCATGGTAAGGCAAAGAGACAGGAGAAATGGCAGAAAAAAAGACAACTGCACCCCATCGCCAATTCTATGAAAGAGGCAGGGCCATGACATCCAAAAGGCCTTTTCTGGAAGCACTCTAGGTCAGCCTTCCCTAACCTGCTGCCCTCTGCATGTGGACTCCAATCCCCATCTTCCCCAACCAGCATGTAGCTTAACACATCTGGAAGGCACCAGATTAGGGAAGACTGGCTTAGGTAAACCTGGTCCTTATTCTTTTGGGTCTTGCTTAGACGTTTCCCCACTAACAGAGCTGTTTCTAATCAGTTCTATTAGTGAAGGAGAGCCTCCTTTTTCCTGGTAACAAACTGTGACCTTTCTTGCCAAGTTCCTGTTCAGCTGCTTCTAATCTGCCTGCCCTTTGTAACATCCTCCTGTGCATGACCATGAAAGGGTGAGAGGAAAAGAAACAAAAGCTTAGGCCCAAAGCCCGTTTGTATTTACTGAACATCTTAAGGGGGATGGCCTTTCTTCTTTGGGTTGTAAGGCACCTGTTCCTACATCCAGGGTAGCTCAGCATCCACAGCAGGCGTTGCATTCAGGGAATTAACAGGATTCCGTGCGAACCGGTTGTGCTCGGCTGCATGAGACGTGTGGGCTGCTTCCTCAACTCACATACACAAACTAAGGATTTTATTGGTGAGAAATGCTCTGTGTTTCCTCTATTCTCTTATGTCTCACACACACGCACGCTTCCCATTATCAGCACAAGGAGACTTGGAACAGGAAGGCTCTCGCCTTCACAACAGTAGCACCAGTGAGAACAGCCGCCTTGACAGAAGGGCCCTTTGTCGGAAAGTAAGGCTGCACACGGCAGCTGAGCCACTGAGAGAGGCAGTTTGTTTGCACAGGCTGTAGGATGCAGGTAAGCGGTGAGCCTTCCCTGGACCTTCATATCTAACAAAGGACAGCAACCAATTCCAGACAACCTTACTGGAAAAGTCTACTTTACTTTTCTCCATCTAGCCCGACGCTTCAAACGGAAAGAGAGGTTTTCTAGTTGAAAGGAAGTGCAAGGCTAAAGGCCAAGCCACATGTTGTGTTAATAGAATAGAGGGTAACTGAGGCTTATCAGTCTATTCTCCTGTAAGTGCCCTAATTTTGGTTGGGAGCACAAGACTCTGCAACTCCCCCCATCTGCTGCCATCTGTTTCTTCCCTGAAATTCCACCTGCTGGGGAAGGGAGTGAAAAAACGCCAGGGAAACACTCTTTCGACCGCATTTGCAGGCAACTAGACGCCACCATGGGTGAACGACCCTGCACACTTCCCACTGTGAGGACAGCTGTCATTGTGAGTATTCTGGGCGAGGCTGGGGGCATGCTGTCCATGCAAAAATGCTGCGCCAGGGGTGTAAGGGTGGCTGGCCAACCACCAAGAACCCTCAGGCCATTTCATGGGTTTGGTCTACTTTCATAGTAACCCACCTTTGCTGGCTTTGCATGTTAGAAGAAGCTATGGCATGTCCCCACACATGAAGAAGGGCAGCTGTCTCCATGACTGCAAGCCCTGCAGGGAAATTCACACATGATTCTCATGAGTGAAATGGGCCACTGGCTAATGGTGACGTTTTTCCTTTCATTTTTAACCCCAGCCCCTTCCTACAACAGTGCCATGTATGCTTTAGGATGAAGAAGTTGCCTTTGCTTAACTGCCGTGAAAACATCGGGATAAAAATGGAAATGAATACAGGCCCATATTAATGGACGTGGTTGTGGGAACTGGCTTAAAGTATAGAATTCACTGCCACAGGAGGAAATGATAGACACCAGTCTGGATGGCTTTAAAAGGGGATTGGACAAATTCATGGAGGAGGTGGCAATCTGCGGCTGCTAGCCTTGTTGGAAACGTGCTGTCTCCTTTACCGCAGGCAGCATGCCTGTGTGCATCGGCTGCTGAGGAGCTCGGGCAGGCAGATCTCCTGCATCCATCCCGAGGGATCCTGTGGGCAGCTGCTTTGCCACCATGTCTGTGGAGTGCTGGCCAAGACGAACCATTGGTCTGAGCCAGTGTGGCTTTTCTTCTGCTCCCAATATATTGGCTTCAATCCACTAAAGTCTGTAATAACCGTGACACGGTCTGCATCTGCAGCAGAATAAAGCAGTGGACTTCAAAAGTGGTAACATGGATTTTAAACTCTTCAGGCTGCAAATCAGAATTAGTTTTTCACATTTCCTGTAAAAACTCACTGCAAGAAGAAAATAAGCACAGCAAGGAATGAGCTGGTATGTTCCTCCCTAATATATTTGTCTTCCACATATGGAAAGTTTTTGTGTAGAGAAGAAGTGAATGAATGTGTGTCATCTCCCCAGAAAGCAAGTCACACTGCTTTCAGTTCTGGGTAAACCTGAGAGTCACACTGTGTTAACAGGGACTTGCTTAACTAGATGGGCACAGAATTGCTGTCTTTGCTGCAGCTGAGTTTAACTGAATTGGAATTATTACATGAGTTAAAACTGGTCCACAGAAGCAGCCACTTGAGAAAAAGGTGCATGCTTGTTCACAGGCATTTGGAAGCTGCAGGATGAGACATACCTCCTGATATTTCATAAAGCAAAACCTTGGAAAGACTCACCTGATCCCATAAGAGCACAGATCAGCACCATGGAGTTGTACTTGATTTCTGGTGCACTCCTCTCATCAGACAGCAGCCTGTGTAGAATCTGTACTAACTGTGCACTTTCGAGATCCTTCTCTGCTGTACCTGTGAATGAGATGAAAACTGTAAATATGAAGGGCTGCACATTTCTCTCTTGGAGCAGGTGGGTCATTTACTGAAATATTTATGGTTTCTACTATAAAGTGGTTTGTGCAGCCTTAATGCATACACCACTTATCTGAACAGAATTTATATTTCATTTTTAATCATCTTCTCTTATTTGGTGAGTGGGAAAAAGCACAATTGTGCTGAAGTGGGCATGTAAGTGGGCAAAGACAATTTTACGTGAGTTGGAGAGGCAGGAAGCACTGCAGGAACAAGCTCACTTCCTTAGATCTAAAGCAGTCTCTGCGAGTGCCCTAAGCCTGCCACAGAATGATCCAGCGTGCTGACAGAGCGGGATCTTGGAAAGGGGGAATTTAACTATGGGCAGGATCCAGTTGGAGCCACCAACAACTAGCCCAATAGCCAGCCCTGGTTAAAGATGGTCAAGAGCTTCCGGGGGCAGTCCGAAATGAGCAGAAACGCTCGTTTCTAGAACAGGACAATTCAGCAGAGCTTAGACTGATAGACTCATAGGATAGGAGTGCTGGAAGGGGCCATGAAGGCCATTGGGTCCAGACCGTGGCTATTGCAGGACCATCCCACTCAGATGGCTGTCCAATTTCACCTTGATGTCTCTAGCGAGGGAGAGGCCACCAGAGCCAATCTGACCCATTCATTTCAGAAGCAAGCAGCTCTTCTTGCTTCAGGGCCTGTCCCCAGAAGTGCTGTCTTGAGACTGCGCAAATGATGGGTGCCACCTGAGCAATGAAAGTGGCAGGGCTGCTCAGGCACAGAATGGAAGCAGCCACAGGCTCCACTTGCAGGGGGGTGGATACTGCCCTAGACTTCTGGTTGCTCCTAAAAAGGGCTCTGCTGTTGTAATTTCTATCTGGTCTTTCTGCAAAAAAAGGAAAAAGCCCTGAAAAAAACAGTGCTCAGTCAGGGTGACTAAAAATAAACAAACACAGCTAAATCTTTCCTATGCTTAGAGCAATTTTCTGGAAGCTTGTGTTCTCCAGATGAATCTACAGCATGTCCAGTGGTCAGAAGTGATCCACTAGACCCCACCCAAGGAGCACAGCATGAGGTGTGGCCTTGTGGAGCCGCATCAGTGCTGGATTTCTAGGGAGCCCTGGGCAAGGCACCTTCACTGGGCTCCTCCCAAAGTAAGGCTATCTTTCCGCTGCCATCGCCACCAGCCATCCTGCTCCTCATCCTCCAACCCACCATCATAACGCTTGCTTGCTTGCTTGCTGCAAAGGTGGAAAGCCACTGAACAAACACGCAAGGCACCTCCTTCTTACTACCCCTGTTATCTGGGTCAGCACAAGAGGCAGAGGAAGAAGCAGGCTTCAATGGCGGAGGGAACAGCAAGTCTGGCGACCATCTCTCACTGGCCTCTGCTGCCGTGTGAGACCGCAGCAGGTGCCCAACCCTTGGTGCTGGGCCTGTTGCAGTGACCACCTGTCAGAAAGCCTCCATTTACGCACATGTAAACTTCCGCCCTGGTCAGCCCACCAACCGGCCATGCCTTATCCCAGAGCTCCCCACTCCTCCTCCTCCAGCAGAACTGGAGATAAATTACAAACCATTAACTGCCAGGATACTCACCTAATTCTAGAGCAGCTATTAGTGCCAGGGCAACAAGAGCCTCGTTCTGCATTATTACATGTTCGCTAGTTGCCATGGTAACTAAGTGCTTAATGCCGCCACTCTGAACAATGGTCCTAATTACATCCTAAAAAAAGGGGGAAAGGAGGTAACACAGGACATGAGGAAAAACTGCAGCAAGCTACAGATAAACAAGGGTGGGAGGAGAGGTAGGCATGAAGGGCAGCTCGGCATTCCTCCCTCCATGCCATAGAATTAAGGAAGATGTTCACACAGAGCATTCCTAGGGGCATCACAGCTATGTTATAATACTATGCTATACACAAAGTCAGAACATTTCCTTTCAAGCTTTTTTAGATGCAAACTTATCTATTATATCATTAAAATCAGTAAGTTGCAGTTTATCATTTTCTGTGCAGAGAATGCTTAGACCAGACAACTGATCTTGGGACATTATTGACCATAGACTGTTCTTTACCCTTTTTAGCCTAGGACAGCATCCCAGAGCCTCTATGACACAATATAAGAAGACATTGTTGCTCTCTTCAACTTGCTGGTGTGTATCCAGCAGAGTCTGGGATGAGGGCCATTCTTAATCTCTGAATCATGTTACTGCAGCTGCTAGCATTGCTCTGCCAGGCTGCAATCCTACAAATACATACCTCACTGGGGATTAAGTCCCACTGAACTCAGAGCGGCTTACATCTGGCTAGAGTGGAAAGGATTGGACTGTTAATATGACACACTGCCTCTAACTAAATTATGTTATACTACATACAGTATTAATTGTAAAAGCTAGGATCCACAGCAATTTTATTTCTTTAAAATTACATACAACTTTTCAACTATAAAAAGTTGAAAAGGCCCTGAAGTGGCCCTAAATAAAATCCCATTACAATTAAAACTGGAGAGGATTAAAATGGCAGAATAAATACAAAAGACTGAAATAGGTAGTATTAAAAGAAAATAAGGCTCTGAAGCAGGAAGGCAGTGGAACTCTCCGCTGTGCAGCAGAAGAAACTCCAATAACACCTCTTCGGCTCTAAAGCCTGAACTTTTAAATGCCTTTCTTATGCACGCATCACCATCATCCTCCAAGTATCTTTTCATTTTCACAGGTCAGTTGTATTTTCAAGCCTTTCAGATAAAACAGCAGTGCTGCTGACCTTTTATTTCCTGTCTCCAAGGTTGTTTTGTATCCCAAGGAAGTCTCATTCACCACATTTTAAGGTGTCATTTGGCATTTCAATAAGCTGTTCTTGTTGGAAAAGGCAGAATTCCCCTGCAGATTCTACCTTCTCCTACAGCCTCTTCTGCCCTTTCCCTTCACAGGTCTAGGACTGAAAAGTGGGCCCATGAATTCCAGCAGACCATCATCTATTCTCCAGTGCCTTGACAATAGGCTTTTATGCTTTTTTTTAAAAAGAGACACATAAAACTGAGACTGACAGGATACCATTGGTCAAGTCACTCTTTCTCAGGTTTCAATCCCTAAAAAGGGACCTGTCTCACAGGAATGAGGCTGTCTAACAAGGCAAGCCCTTTATGTGTTGCACTTCTTTCAGCTGGAAGGCCAAATTATCTTCTGGAGATGCTCCCGAGGCGGGTGGGCTCAAAGGCAACAGACCAGGGGCAAAATATCAGAAAATCCAGCTTATTTTAGATTTAAGCTCTTACTGAAAGGGACTATACCTTCAGCCTTTAGAGTGGGGAAAAACCTGCACAAAAGCCATGAAACCACAAAGTGATGTGAAGGGGTACAGGAAGGGTGTGTGGCCATCAAGAGACCCACAAATGAGCAGATTTGGCTGGTGGTCCTCACAAATCACACCTCTAACTTCAGGGCTGCACACATCACATACTTTTGATTTGCTGTGTCGTATAAGAGCAGAGAGCAGCCTGTTTGACTCTCCCATCACGCCGGCGTGGTCCTTGGCTTCACACCACTCCACCAGCCTTTCAACCAACTTCACATTCTTCCCCAGCTGTTCAGCAGCTTCTGCTATACATGTTGAAGAGATGGCATCTTTCAATATACAGCAATTGGGTCTCTTGTTTTAAAAAAAACACACATTTTTTAAAGATATTAAATAACAAGATATGTTGGCAGGCTGACATCCACTAAACGAAGGGGAGAGGTGTCTCAAAGGAAAATGCAACCAGAGCAAATCAATGTTGCTGTACCCACAGTGGCTTGTCATGTCATCCAAACCCAGCTGATCGACCATGACGGGTAAAGGGAATTGGCTACTGAGTCCCTTAGCAAAAGCAGCAAGAATACAAGTGGCTGCTAGCTGACGGACAGTGCCAGCCACCCCAAGAGTGCCCAAGCAGCACCTAGGGGCCGTTGGCACTGGCTTCCTCCCCCTCAGTCAGAATTAGTTGCTGCCTTCCACCTGCCCCCTTAAATTTACCCTTTTTTTCTGGGGAGTATGAGAACTGGCTGCCACAATGAAAACACCCCATAGGTTCATACTGTCAAGTTGGGACTCTGTTGGGCATATCACATATTATAGATGTGCATGTAGACTATATATTTATTCAAAGGAAAGGTTTTTATTATTGGATGATTAATTAGTGTATACCCTCATGCCCTTTTGGTTTTTCGCACAACATATGACTTATGGCCTGGCTGTGTTCTTACTTCATCCTTCACGAACAGAACACACTGGGAAGTATAGAGCAAATCTACCCTATAGACTCTGACATCATTTGTTTTCTTCTCCATCACCTCAGGTGCTTCAGGAACACCAAGAGGGTGTGTTCTATTTAAAAACAGCACTCTAAAGTGCAGTAACAAGCCTCACTGTGACTAAATAATTGTGAGTCGATCTTTTCCTCAAGAGTATACATAATAATGGCACAACTGGAGTCGGGCTCAGAAAGAAGCCAATCAAAAGAAAAGGGAGAAGCAAGGTCAGGGGAACAATGAAGTGCTAAAATGAGGAGACTGGCTTTTAACCAAGGCTGAAGGAAGAAATTTTGAGTCTGGTTTAGCAACTATCATACAATTTTAGGAAAGTTCATGATCTATGCTTGTCATAATTAGTGTCAGGTAATATATGACTCAAGATCTGAAGTTCAGTTAGCCAGAATATTTTAAAACAATGATTTGGCATCTTACCTTGCATTTTACTGATGATTAGAGACTTTATTTAATTTTTATTAGACTTTTCAGGTTGCAAAAAGTCCTTGCTACAAGCCATTTGACCAGCTAATGCTGATGGCCCTTGCATTTATTAAGTGTGGGAATTCAAGCCATTTTATTGTGCTATCAGACAGTGTACTCATTTAAAAAGTACTGAAAGAACAGCTAACAAAAATCACAAAACAATTCAAGAAAAAAACAATTTTGGCAACTAAATTTAGTTACGAGTGGTATATGAAACTGAAATGCATTTACGTACCATACGCCATGTTATGATTCAAATTGCTTGTAGTATATGAAGAAATTAAACATTTATAGGGAATCTGAGGGGTTTTTTTTAAATCAGTTCATTGTCCTTACTTTACGTATGCATTCAATTTATTTGAAGGATTTTCTTTAAGTCTTCTTCCTCTTCTACAAGCAACTTAGCAACCCACTGAATGAAAGCAGTATTAACATAGAAAGCAGTTTATTTTTACCTTGTGCATCTATTAACATTCTTAACGTCCCCAGCAGCTTGAACTGAACAGGGGGCATCTCGGATCTGAGAAATTTCAATACTGCTTCTGCCACGCCAGCTGACAGCATCTTTGCCTTATTTACAACTGCATGAATAAAGAACAGATATCATCTCAAAAGCACTGCAAAGTTGATACTCTTATCCTGCATGAAGAAGCTTATTTTTGAGATAGGCCAATAAATACTTTAGCCAAGGATACCTGAAAACAAATCACTGAGCTCTGACTGTGTGAGAGTTTGGCAAGATGCCCACAGAAAGGAATACTGGGTATAATTTTATCTCTCCCATGGTTCATCCACTTCTAGGCTCATCTGGTAGGGTAAATCAGAGCAGGACAGGGCAAGATGGCAACAAATTGGAATTGCTTGTCCAAGTACAGTTAAATTGCAATGTTTTCATGTAAGTCAATTCTTATAGAGATGTTGACTGGCAGCTTTCAACCAGTTTATGTTGGAAATATTTCCAGTAACAAATGGAGAGGTATCAGTGTCTGAAACATACAGATGCAGGCACCATGCTTTCTCCCTTCCTGATGGATGTTTTAATTTGATTTTACCACACTGGTCCAAGCTTTTGGAATAACTCAGCCTTTAGATTCAAGGAGGGGGCTGCTCTGGCTACTTCCTGTAAGTCAGCGGTGAGAACTGTGGGGGTTCTGGGGGGTCATTCGTAGCCCCTGGACACCCCCCCTCCATAGGCTGCCCTGTTGAAAGAAGTATTTTTTAACATCAATTGCTCATTTGCTCCAAAATTTGGCAGCAAAGTGCTCCACAGTGTTAAAAAGGTTAACTTTAGCTAAAAATAAACCAAAATGAAACAAATTCAGAAAATGTCCTGCTACATGGGTTGGGACAGTAACAGGCTGGGACATTCCCAAGGTTGTGCCTCTGCGAAGCACTCCGGGATACAGTCCATGGCCAGAAATACGGGTTGGCTGTGCGAGCTCGAGGGCATTTCTCACCCACCACACAGACTCCTCCTGCACAGAGAACCTTCACACTACGGCCCTGGGGGAATCAGCCACACCTCCCACTCTGCATCATGCAGGCCCCCTTGCTTCCTCAGATGGGCCTAGCTCCTGATTCCAGATAACAAGAGCAGCATCTTGGAGAAGGAGAGAAGCGTCATCCTACCAGTGCCGATGTCATTCCAGTAAGGATCCAAGTAAGTTCTGCTTATAGTGAACTATACTAGCATTAGAACAAACACTTGTGATGGTTCACCCACAATGTTGTACAGCCTGAGTGCATCTCAAATTGCTCCCCACTACATACCGTTACTACGGAACTGGGTGCAAACATCATCTAGCCTGATTTTTTTTTTTACACATTTACATCACACCTTTCCTCCATCATGAAACTTTCTGGGTGGTTTCCCCTCCAAGCACTGACCAGAACCGGAACTGCTTAGCTTGTGCAAGCATGCTGCCTCAAGTGCTTCAGGCCACGGCCTGGGTGTGTGAAAGTATGACGGACACAGAATTAAATAGATGAAAGGATTCCTGTTTGGGAACATGACTGCAGACTGTAAGGCATACTATGCATGCTGTAATTATGTCAGCGACAAACAGTACACCTTGCGAACAGCTGCAAAGCACACTGCAAGTTGCCAGTGTTTCCCTGGGCAGCTGTTCTCCCAAGACCTCCCTTCCGCTGTGCATGGCAACCGCCCCATTCCACGCCGGCAAGGCTCTCCACCCCCATGTGTGAAGCAGGAGACAGACTTTCCTCCAAAATGCATTTTAATTAAAAGTGAGAAGTTAGCTGGCATTTAGAATATGGACTAACAAGATGTTGCTTCTTCTGGCAGAAATTTCCTAGCTCAGAAGCTTACGCTTTATTTTCATTTTAAAAAGCTTCACTAAATTGCATTTTTATATCTCTGTGGGAATTTTAATATTAAATGTGCATATCTTTTCAGTATCATCTTATTTTGGAAAAAAAGAAAGTGAAATAAAGCAGGAGACTAAGAATGTGCCTGCTGCTCGAATAGCCCTTAATTTTCTCCAGTAACTATGCAAATAGTCCTAGAAAGCAAATACTTCATTCACAGCTAAATACTCCTCTAAGGGAGTTTGAAGAGGACTAAATGTATCAAATGTAGCAATATACAGTATACATGTAGTTCAGAACAATAACTGAAAGATCTCTCACACTTCACTGAATCTGGATGATTATCAGCCCAGGCTCCCGAGGCCAATGAAAAGATATATGAAATCCATAAACACAAGCTCAGAAGTGGCTTATAGACTGGTGACTGAATTTGCTCCTGGTCTTTACAGAAAAATCACACACTTCTATATGCTGTCACAACACTAGAGCAAATCAATTCCTGCAGAACATCATTGGTTCTTGCCAAAAAAAAGGAGAAAAACAGTGATTAGTTTCCAAAGTATACTCCTGAAATTGATGGCTTGTCCCTTTTTTCTGGACTGTACTTAGGAAATTTCATTTATGTTAGTTTGCATAAATCCTATGTCATTAGTGCAAGCACTGTGACAGCATTTGATAATGTTGAATATGAACAGCTTCATATTTAACTTTGTAGTTTGTGGTTTCCAACAAGTGCTTAAAATACTTGAAACATTCTCTCAGTAATCCTCACAATACCTCTGTAAGGTATGTCCTGACATTCATTCATTCATTCACTTATTTTCCTGCTTCTTTTTCTTCAAGGAACTCAAGGCAGCTTACATAATCTTCCTCATCCTCTCATCCCTATCCTCACAACAACCCTGTGAGGTAGGTTAAGCTATGATTCAGTGACTAGCCCTAAGTCACCTAACGAGCTTTGTGAACAAGGGGGGACTAGTATTGGATCTCCCAGGTCCTGTTCCAACATATTACTAATCTACTATATACTAGCAGTATACTAATCCAGCTCTCCTATTTTAATATTACTATTTTAGGGATAAGGAACCAAAATTAAAGGACGGTTGCTTGGCTATTGATGCTCTTCCCCCTGTACCCCAGCCACACTTAATTTCCAGCTGGTCTAACATCTGAACCAGGTGAAAGCCAACTGCTCCCAGGAAAACGGCTAGGGAAACTGTTACAGCTGCAATCTTAATAAGACAGCAAGCAAGTCCTACTGGATATTTATTTTGAATAAATATGTACAAGATTGTACTAAATATTTCCTAATCATGTGCATGAGGTAAACTGATTTGATGGAGGAAAAGCAATAATCAGCCAACTAGTACTGATCCCTCTTCCCTGGAAGCTGTCCTGAGAAAATGAGTTCTATGGGCATACCAGGAATAGCGAGATTTCGGAGTGCACTCAGCGCTGCATGCTGTACAGTGACATTTCCATCTTCCACATGCCTGTCCAGTAAATCCATCAGTTTCTGAACGATACCATTATCCACCATATGGATACAGTTTCCATCTGCACAAGACCAAAACACAGGAGAATAAAGTACATTCTTCTCTGCAGAAGATGCCTAATTGTTTTTCCCACAAACCCCATTTTACAGATGCCAAGAGAGCAGTAACCTTTGATTACCAGTACCTCTTCTGAAACACCAGCCCATCATTTAAAATAGAAATAAATGATGAAGCTCGACAAACTGTGTATCAATCTTGGGGCATCCAAGAGCAAACAAACGTCTTTCCAAAGAGCTTTTTTCCCATTTCAATGTACAGCTGACTCCAATTTCCACATCCTTGCTTTTTTTCATATCTGTCCCTTGATCTTCTTACATCATTCCTAATGCTTTAAGGTATATTTTAGAATGTACATTTTGAAAGCTACTTTTCCAAACAAAGTGCCTCTCCACCTACTCCTTTTCCTTTCATTGCACTGTGGGGAAATTATCACCTCATTAAACCACTCAAGTTATATTTGAAGAGTTTTAAGAGAGTGCTTGTATTTTAAGTTCTGAAATTTTAAAAAACAAGTATTTCCAAAACTGATGCCTGGCTCTGCTGAGAAATGCATGGTATGTATAAATATATAACCCAATTGCAACTGAACTTTAGTGACAATGACATGCTGGAATGTTAACTTCAATGATTCTCACCGTTTCTAGCAAAATTTGCAATTGCCAATGCTCCTGCAAGCTGCAGCTGATGGTTATTAGATGGGATCCATAAAAGCACCCTTTGGAACACGCTGCCTTTTCCTCCTTCAAATAGTTTTTGCATTGATTCATCTGGGAGTGAGAAAAAGCAATTTCATCAAAATGAGAAAAATGAAACCTATGAAGCTGCTTTGGTCCAAGTCAAACAGACTGATCCACTGAGCCCAGTTTTATCTATGCCACTGGCAGTGGCTGTCCAGGAGTTCGGGCAGAATCCCAGCCTTATTACTTTTAAGTAAAGATGCCACCAAGGGCAAGTGGGGTAGTTGCTCCTCCACTGAACCCTGTAAGGCTCAGGACAAATTATTCCCTCTTCTACATTCTGTAGCTGCATCACAATAGGTATATAGCACATGTAAATGTGCAGCATAACGAACAAAATCAGTAGGTTTGGGCACCACCACCTACTTTTGCCTGGGAAAATATGACTTGGGTAAAAAATGTAAACTGATTTTCACATTTCTCTGCTATTCTGGTTTCACATGGCTAAACCCACTGATGGAAATGTGACAGCTAGAAAGATAATCTAGAGGGCAATCCTATCCAAGTTTTGTAAGAAGAACTTCCAGCATTCCCCAGCCAGAACTCTTTTCTGTTCAAATACGATTAGGAATACTTGGACAGAAGCAAAATTTAAAGTTAATTTTTAAAATGAGCCTGCTGATGCAAGATACCCACGTACAATACTCACCACCCAGCAGGAGCAGAACCATAAGGTCAGAGGCAGTTTTAAGTTCCGCAATGTCATCATCTTTGTCACTCTCTACAGTCTTTTGGACAATCTCAAGTAGACACTCTACAAGTCCTGCTTCAACCAGCTGCAGCTTAATGATATCTGGGTGAAGAACATAATAGGTCCATGAGCTGGAATGCTTTTAATCTACCACAAGGCCAAAGACGTGAAGAAGCCAGCATGACAAAGCAGAGGGAAAGGTGAATGCCGTACACTGTCAGTGATATCATCTTTTCATTTAGGAAGCTATTCAGACATCTTTGTCAACTTGCAAGTACTATGAGGATAGTCAATCACAGAAGACAGCCTAAGATCCCAGAGGGGCTACAGATGTTATTAAGACTATTAAATCATGTTCTTTATTCAAGGTTTGCAGCAGAATTGTCAATATACTGGCTCTATTATTAGTTTTTGAGAGGCAAAAAACAAAAGAAGTATGATAATGTAACTGCATCTGGGATACTAAAAAAAAGAAGACAATATGCAGATAGAACTAGATGGCCCCTGCATTTTCCTAATTTCTATAGAGCCAACTACAGAATAGCAAAGGGTAGACATATTAATGCAAAGTAAATGATTTGTTCCCTGGTTAGTAAAGATTTGTTTGTTTTGCTGCAGCTTATGAGCTGTCTTCAAAAGGCATGTTGTCCACTCCCACCTCTTCAAAGCAAATTTATATCCTTCTACTCTGTGGGAACAGGACAGATGCTTTTCCTGTACAGGCATAGATGGTTTCTAGTCTAGCATTCTTGCTGTCATGTTCACTTTGTACATGCAGGGAGATTTCTGATGCAGGGTTTCACTCAATCATGTATTCTGAGGACCAACCAGGACATTTCCTTGCTATTTCAGCATGCAGCAAAGGATCTTGTTTTCCTCTAATGGACTACAGGTGAAAGAAGCTTACTTGGAAAGCAGCATGTGGTACCAAAAAGGATTTTTTAAAAAAATCTAGGTGTACTAGCTTTGAAAGAGAGGATTTTCCTCTAGTCAAGTTTATGAGGAATGAGATTAAAAAGAGTGTCTGCTCAGGAAATTCCATCCCCACCTGCCACCCTCTCTGCTTTGCAGGTATGAACTTTAAATTCATGTGTTTCAGTTTTGCCTTGTGAAATGGGTAGCTGCTGCACAGAAGAGCTCAGAGCTGTCTACTAGTGAGTTGTGGGGATTAGACCCAAACTCCTCTTTTAGCAATCACAAGTTCTGTCAAGCAACAAGTATTTCCTTTCATCTAATTCTGCATGAAATGTCACTATTGGTTTATTTGGATGCAAAGTATTTCTAATGTGTTGCTTACAAATGCTTATTATCTTTGCAAGAAAGGAAAATGTGCACCAAACTAGATGTAGCTGACTCCACCTACGGTGGCCCGCTAACCCTGTGCCGCCAGTTCTAGAGGCTATCAGCTGCCACTGTAACATGGCAAACAGTCGTCTGTAATCTCCCTTTAAGCCTGAATTCACTTGAGAAAAACAAAGATGACTCATTTCAGGCTACTTTAGTCATCCGGGTCTATTAAGATTGTATGTGCAGCTATTTTCAGTTTTCTATCTGTTGTGGAAGTACCTTAGTGATGCTGGTTAAGGAAATCAGAAACAGAATTTGTACATGATGCTGCAGTTCTATACAACACACCTGAGAATGAACTCATCCAGACACACTTCTGAGCACACTTCTGATTGCAATGTTAATCAGTCACCTTCTTAAATTTGGGGCAAGGATTAGGGTTCTTACATCCCCATGTCTACCAACCCTATCCCCTTTATCTTTGCCAAGTTTATTGCCAAGGTGTGAAAGGGAATTACACTTGTGTTCTCTTGAAAGTGAGTGGAACTCCCTGGGCCACTGGAAACCCTGCTTTATTGGTGTCACTGATAAAGAATTCACATAGAAAATGCTGTAGCTCCTTGGCAGAGCACATGGTTTTCACGCAGAGATCCCCAGCATCTCCGGGCAGGGCTGGAAAAATTCCTGCTTGAAATACTGGAAAGCCACTGCCCATGAGTGTGGACAGGTATGGTTTAGATGGACCAATCAATGGTCCGACTCCAGATGAGGCAGCTTCCAAGGTTCCTATAAGGAGAACATATCTTCAGTCCTCATCAATCAATAAAGGAATGTCAAAGACTAAGGAGGATGATATGCTGTCCTAGTCTGCAATGCAGTTTAAGTTTTCGTGCATCCAGGTGATTATCTGTAGTATCTTATATTTTGTAAGCCACCCTGAGGCTTTTTGTGAATGGGGCAGCATAGAAATGGTCTAAATGAATGAATGAATAAATAAATATCTGAAAGTACTGCTGGTATCTGCAAATATGAGTTCAAACTACTGCCACTGTGCCTGGAATGTTATGTTCACCCTCTTAAAACTTTTTCCTGCCTCATCTAATACTGAACGATGTGGAATTAAAATTTTCATGAGCGTGTGTGTAAATAAGAATGGGTCAAATAATGCTTCTAACATAAATAATTTCAGTTGCATAGCTTCGCTAACAAAGAACTACAACCTCTGTCTCCTAGAAAAACAAAACTGTCACCAGCAACTCACCATTTTCTGCCAAAGGAGCCAAAACTTCAAAAATCATCTCTTTCTTGTCATGTTCTATTTGCTTTTTGAACAGCTTCACAAGCTCTTCGGCAATGTTTGTGTAGGCGAACTGCTCTTTGCTTGATTCTGTGAAATCAAAAGGGAAAGAGCTAAGGGCACAGAAAAACAAAACAAAGTGGCAGAACTGTTTCCTCTTTAGCCTATTGGGAGGTGACTTGGTGCTGTGATTAATAGAGCTAAACAGTCTTCACAGACAGGAACAACACACTCCAATACTTAAGCCTGTCACTAAATGAAAAGAAAAACATCCAAGATTTTTAAGATAAATGTGTTGACCTGAATTATTAATTATGTTCAAAGCTGTTAAAAATTTGCGCCAGTGAAATGTGGATGTACCCATAGCAACAGCAAAATTACTAACATATAAATTAAGCCTTCAGCCGCCATCAACCAAACAAGAAAAATTACACAGTGAGTACACTGGGATACTGATTGAAGAGATGCAAAGGTCAGGCCCAGCACCTTAACATTTACAGGGATACATGCTGGTGGAATTTGTTCTGGCATTTCCAAACAGCCGAAGCAACACGCTTAAATCCAATATCCTTTCTGGGTGCCCTGGCAAAGGGCTGCTTTGTCTGTTAGCTCTTAACATGCAGGCACAAGATCTGGCTTACTGACCTGTCTTATTACATTTCAAGATGTCAATACATTTATGTGGAAGTGTAAATAGTTTCCTATCTATTAGTGGAATCCTATGCACGTTTATGCAGACAAAAACCCTATAGTTCCCAGCTTGCTGCAGCCAACTTAGCTGCTGGAAGGATGCTGGGAGGGATAGCTCATTTTTCTTCCTAAACATGCACAGCATTGCACAATTGGCCTTAGGTATGAGATGCTCACTTTGCAGAATCACATTTCAGCAATAGATACAGCATGGAAATAATTATTAGAATATAATAATGATAAGATTGAACAACAACTATTATTTTAGCAGCATGAATATGCATGGTGCTTTACAGAGCCCAAGAAGTTAAATCTATGCACTAAGAAGCTCACAATCTCAACTCTAACACATGGAACCAAAGAGGGAAGGGAGGGACGGCAGAAGGAAACCAAGAAGCAATACCTACACATTTCTGTTGCATGTGTTTTGGCTCCGTTACAGCACTGCACAGAACAAAGCATTTGCTTCAAAGCCTTCATGGAAAAGGTGCGTTTAGAAGAGGGATTTATGGGACATAAGAGAGGGAGCATCATACAGGCATTTTGAAAGGCAATTCCAAGCATGGCTTTAACATAAGAACAAGCAAGCAACTTATTTATCTGTAGGGGCAAGAGTATAATTTCCCTCTCATTCACACAGTCACAAGAAGAAGTTGCAAGGGTTCAAAATGAAATCCAACCCTGAGTGAGCATTAAAAGCTTTCTGTAGATTTGTACTTGCAACTTTAAGCCAGGACCGTTAAGTTGTATGACAGCACCAACAAGGCTCAAAATATCAAGCGCTGATTTGCTCACCACCAGCAGCCTGTGCTTGTCCATCCACACAGTAAATGAGAAAACGTCAAGGTGTTTCTAACCTGTGTGGGGGCTGCTGTTTCATACTCTTTATTTGCCTTTCTACTTCTGCTACCCTTCCCAAATCAGCCTCTCTGTCAAGTACGGGACCATGGTGGAGGGAAGGTACTGAGTGCCCCATACCGCACTTGTCAGAAATGTATCTGTCCGTTCCCTTTATAACTAGCCTTCCCTCCAATAAGCTGCTTCTCCTTATACCTGTCAAAGAACTTAGGCTGGGAGCTGATAACTGGCCCAGAGCCCCCCAGCAAGCTCCATGGTCACCTGGACACTAGAACCAGGCTGTCCCAAGTCCTGATCCAACTGCTACACCAAACCAGTCTCACAAATATTTCCTGGTAACCTGTACACAGATTTAGAAGATGGTTAACTCTGTAACTCCAGAGACACCTGTGGACCATCTTCTTTAAAATGAAGACAGCCAGCCATATACTGCTGAGACACAAGGATTTCTTTTAGGCAGTAAGAAGAAATAATATATAAAGTCACTGCAATTAAACCTTTAAACTACAATTTACAATAAACTTTATTTAAATAGAGGTATGGATGGATGAACTCATGCAAGAGCATAAGGCCAAAAAGGAGGAACTTGATAAATAAATTTTGGTTCCTTAAACAGTGAACACAGAAGACAATAGCAGTATTGCTTCTCTATTTGAGAACTTGCTGTACACAGCAATATGAACAATATAAGATAGATAAATAAAGCACAATCATTTAGGGATCACATCCCAGGACTTACCAAGTTCTGCTAAGTTTCCAAACGCAACAAGGCACATTTCAGTCAAAGCAGAATTTTGGCAATGAATGCCCAACAATTTCACTAATGTTGGGATAACTCCCATTTTGATGAGCTGAGTTTGTAGGGTATCTAAACACAAACAGAGAGATGTACAAAAAGACAAACATATTTAAGTTAGTGCTTCCCCTTCCATTGTTACAATAGCACCACCAATATCACAAACACAACATTCGGTATGGTAAAAGTATTTCTGTTCCTTGTTCTTTCGGAGTTATACTAAGCATTCAGTCCTACTACAGGAATAAATCCACATCTGGCCTACTACATGAGAAGCTGCCACTCAGTGTATCTATTTAATAAGCACAGGTTAGTTTTGGTTTACTTTAAATATGGTACTTTTCATCCACATTCCCTCCCCCACTGCAAAATCCTGGGGAATTGTAGTTTACTGAGTGCCCTATAACCGCTTCACATGATTACGATTCTTGTACTTACTTTGGAATTCTTGTTAAACCAAAATTTAAATTTCTGCTAGACCTCTTATGGCATCATACATTTATTAATGCTAAAGAAGAGAAAGCCTTGAATACTTTGTGTGATCAAGATAATGTGTACTTTGACCCTTAGAGGTTATGTGTGTGGATTGATGTCATTAATGATCCTGCATATCCAAACTGGATATTCCTAGATCTTGCATACCATAACCATTAAGGGTCACACTACATGTTGTATTAATTGCAGTGGAATGGATCCAGACTGAAACATTCTTAGAGTAACAGGCCCAATGAAATCAGTAAATTGTGGACTAATGGTTTTATCAGGTTCACTGTAAGCATGATTAAATCTGGATCCAACCTATAGCATCCAAGTCTTCTGCTTTTTTGTTTAAAGAAGTGTTTGACACATGATCTGGGCCACTTTAAGTGTAGAGGTAAGGTCTATGTTAAAATTCCCTCTTCTGGGGTATGACAAGAAGGAAAGAAGGAAGGAAGGAAGGAAGGAAGGAAGGAAGGAAGGAAGGAAGGAAGGAATCTAGTCTCCACTGGCATGCATTTCCATGTATACATTGCAACTCTGTAGAATTATGGATTATGGCCTTTTCATGCAAATCCATTATATGCATGTAATTTCAAGAAGTTTTACAAGTGTATATCCATGTGCAAGATCACAAGGGATTTTTTTTTAAATAAGGAAGGGTTATGGCCAAGACTCAAGAACACTCTGACTTTCTATTCTCTTCTCTCTTTATTTCTATCTCCCTGTCCTTGGTGAGTTATTCTCCATTTTCTCCTCCTCCTCCAACTCCCATCAGCCCTAGCCAGTATAACATACATCAATGGTCAGGGAAATATCTGTAAGGCCACAATTTTCACACACCTGCAGTAAGGTAAGAAGTAAGAAAAGAAATAATGTAAGTACTTCTGGTTACTTTATTATGCAAACAAAGGACGTCATCATACAGAAGACAAAAACACTTGAAACAAAATAGAAGTTTAGCAAAGAACAAGAAACACTGAGAAAAGTCCTGTGGCCAATACGATGAGCAACCTTTCAATGGGGAAAAGTATTGGTGTTTCTGTAACATTATTTCTAGTCTGCCTTTAACAACAGAATATCCTCTCTACCTCTCCTTCCCTCTCCCATTCTCTCTGTAAACTGTAATAGCTTGAATATTTTTGCAAATACAAATCCAATGCATTTTTAGACAAGAAAATTCCTACAACACCCGGTATGTCCCAGTGAGCCATGCAGGACTTTTTTCTGTTTAAATATGCATCAAAGCAAATGATGCAATATGAGATGCAGGGTTTGGTTTCTTCTGATTGCTCTATGGTTTCCTCCTGAGCAGAATCACAGGACCCTGAAGCTTCAAGCTTAGTGATTCCTCTACTGAAAAAAAGCAAAGCAAGACATATGTTTGACAACCTCCACCCTTTGGCAAACTGCAGTTGCTTCTTTTTTAACCAAATGGGCACACACATTTGTTGCAGAAAAAAGGATGAACATATGATTCTACTGCAGCTGCAATGAATAAGGCCGGTGTGCCATCTCTGGATCTCCCTGGAATGCATGCTGAGGGTGCTGCACCCTAATGCTTGAACCTTCATTCTCAGAGTCAAACTACATGTTACACTGTGTAGCATCCAGGCCACCTGTCTGCTGCTTTAGTCAAGAGTTCAGAATTTTCACCACTGAATGGAAAGCTCACATTTTTAAGAGGAAGCATGTTAAAGCCCGAAGACTCTTTTTCCCACTGAATATGTTGCCACTTGAAGATATATTAGCTACAAGACAAAGATGGGGTCCTGTTCCATGAGGGCACTGAATGGGTTGTGATATGCAGCCTTGCAATCTGATTTTCTGGGTATGCTCCCCTATCCCCGTCTGCAGCTTCTGCTCATTCTTCTCTTTCACACTGCTCCTGCACTGGGAAAGCAGGACAGGCAGGGAGCCAGACATAGAAACATAGAAACAGAGCGAGTCAGAAGGGGCCTCCCGGGCCATCTAGTCTGACCTCCGGCACCAGCCAGCTCCGCTCACGACATGCCCACCATGTGGACGTCCAGCCTATCCTTGAACACCCGCACCGATGGGGCCTCAACGACCTCTCGTGGAAGCCCATTCCACACCCTTGGGGTCCTGACTGTCAGGAAGTGCTTCCTGGCATCCAAATGGAACCTTGGCTCCCTGAGCTTTGCTCTGTTGGAGCGCGTCCTGCCTTCCTCTGCAGGGGAGAACAGGTCTCTGCCCACTTCTGTGTTACATCCCCTCACATACCTGTATGTCGCCAACATATCCCCTCTGAGTCCCCTCTTCTCCAGGCTGAAGAGACCCAGACAAAAATCCTGGCGCTACTACAGTTCAGTGTCATTAGCTGGTGCTGTAGCAGTACTGAATACACGTGCATGTGTTTAGAACCAATTTTATGCCTTGCACAGGCAAACACATAATCGCAAGGGTAATAAATACATATAGGGTAATAATATAAATACATACAGACTTGGTTCACACATACCATTAAGCTGTGGTTTAACCAAGCTATAGGGTGTTGAATTCTAGTTTAATAGGTGAACACAGCCATACTCACAAAAACACCAACACCAACAAAGTTTTGTTAACCACAAACAACCCAGAAAGCAAACCCATGGTCAGATTGTGAACACTAGGTTGTTAAAACCATAGGATGTCATTGAACATGAATCCAAAACCATGGAGTTTCCATGAACTGTTTTAACAGGTTAGAAGAGATGAACAAAGAATGTTAAAAAAACACAAAACCTCACCTTCTCTACATGACAGTACTACAGTACTGCAAAGGGTGTGGAGTGCAAGGAGGGAGAAGGGAAAGGAGTCAACAATCAACCCAAGAACTAAGAAAAGAATGCACTCTTCGTTCAACATTGGCCAAACCCTGGACAGGACAACAAACCACAGGTTAAATAAACCATGAGGCAGTGTGAAATGGGAATCAGGCCACAGGAAAAGATGTTTCAAGTAATCCCAGTGCCGGTGTAAATAATCACCTACCCAAACTTTAGCAACACTGGAAAACAACCTATCAGCTCTTCAATCTATATAGCTCAGAACACTAAGTCTCCCTCAGTGACATCTTAGGATGCCAAGGAATCTTTTGATCCTGAGACCTTTTACATGCAAAGCAAATATAGTGTTACACTATTTCTCCTACATTTGAATTCTGATGTCTCCAATGCCTTTTAGGAGACAAAAAAGGACTGCCAAAGAATGAAACTTAAAGAGAATATACCAAATATTTCCTTTCATTTGTGTGTCTACCAGCTCCATAATCTTGGCATTAATTAATATTAATATTTAATTAATATCAAATAATATAATAGCATGATCATAAGGCAACAAGGTTGAGAAGTTTTTGTAGACTTACTGTGTTTAAATATTTTAAATAATCATAATTTAGATCACTTCTAGAAACTGTACTTGCATGCATTACATAATTCCAGCATAACATTAGCTCTGGAAGCACAACTTTAAACAGTATGCATATAAAAGAGATGTCATTGTAGACACAAGAATTAACAAAGGAGAAACAAATGACAAGAATTGTGATTTCCTTTTGATTATTGCACAGATAAAGTTTCAGGAGAAAGCAAACAAATATGAAGAGGCAGAACTTCTATCAACCAGTACAATATATTCAAATCACATACTTCCAGAGAGAGCTTGCAAGATAAAGACAGGCTTTTACACTACAATATTAAGATATTCCTTCAAAGGCAATGGATGAAAGCACAGAATTTAACAGATTGAATTTTAATGTGAAATGAAAAGAGAAACCATAATGCAGAGAATGGTTTTAGATACACGTGTACAAGACAATGCCAACATAAGATTGGCCTCCTCACCACCTCCAAATAATGTTAGAGAACAATTTTATATAAATTGTGGCTGCAGTGATATACACATTTGCCTGTCAGTCCCCTGAATTCAATGGGGCTCACTTCTGAGTAGAGATGCAGAAGATGACACTGTGTTATTTTCACATCTCAAATGAATTAATTAAGAAACAGCATGTGGTGTAGTTGCTCCAGCATTAGGTGGAAAGAAAGTAGCTTGCCAAAGGCAGAGAATGAGCACCTGTGATCCCCACATCTTATGCCGTCTGTCAGTTATAAGGTGCTTCTTGGAAGAAGGATGAAAAACACATTTAACAAGAGGAATTTGCAGCCACATGATACATTGTGCACACTTCTGTTTAGGTTTTAAAGCTAGCAATGCCTTCTATCAGGATATACATGCAATTCCCTGCCGCCACACCCTTCACATCCATTTGGCATTCTCTGGTTACTCAGCATGTTTAGTCCTCAATGCACTTCTTGTCCCCAAGGTTTTATTGCCTAAAGATTTTGTGTAGTTCTGCAAAACTGCAGGATTCCCCATGTATGTCACTGCCACCTTCTTATATCTCAGTGGCTGGTGGAACTCATCAGCTGAACTGACAACTGGGTGAAGGGGAATGCTTCTATGCTAGGGCCTTACCTCAAAAACTGTCACTCATATACAGAGTTATTCCTTAGGAAATAATTGCTTATAGATCAGCCATCAGATTTTCCTCACTATTTTTCTTGGCATGGAGCAAAGGCTGTATCAGCCTAGCAAGCAGATACATCTCTGCAAACACTGAGGTTCTGGCTGTCTCATGTTCATCACTGCTACTCCTGACAGTGCTAGCGTTTTTTGCAGTGGAATCTGTATTAAACAATCCTTTGTTTATTTACAAATGCCTCTCTCTCTCTCTCTCTCTCTCTCTCTCTCTCTCTCTCTCTCTCTCACACACACACACACACACACACACACACACACACAGAGAGAGAGAGAGAGAGAGAGAGAGAGAGAGAGAGAGAGAGAGAGAAGGAAAGCAGGGAAAGATGAAAAGCTACTGCAGTCCCCGCTTACCACTACAATATTACAGATGTTTAAATCAGGGACCATCCAAACTTTGCTTGTTGTACAAATCAAATGTAGTTCCTGAGAGGTTTCAGAAAGTAAACAAACATTTGCCAGCAGTCATAGCAGGGCAGGCATAATAGAAAATTGTCATTCAACCTCCCTCACCCTTCTAGCTATGGAGTTGCAAAGCAATTTGGAAGACACCAGCAGCACAAACAGCAGAGCGCAAACAATTACATATCAGAGTGAGGATGAAGTAGGAGGCCTGGAGAAGGAGAGCAAAGGAAAATTGTGGCACTGATAGTTGCTGATTAGGGGGTAAAAACCTATGAAAGCAGAACACTGATATGAATATTGGGGGAGGTAGAAGCAGTGGGGGGAGGTAGAAAAGTGGTTGAGTCCTTGAGTTGGTCATATGAAAATCTGGACCTCTCACTCATCCTCTATTTAATATGAGGCACCACAGCTGTAAAGAGAAAATTTCTTAAAATTGAATGGGTCATTTGCCTAGTTGGTTTATTACGAGCCACTTCCTGAAACAGTGCCATGATCTATTTTGGAACAAATTGGAATGAAGTGGCAGGAGCTTGTTTACCAGGAGATATTTGGAAGGAATATATTCTCAGGGTAATTGCTGGAGAACAGATGCTAAGCTCCAATGCAGGACAGTGCTAGGAGAGGAAAGAAGCTTTATATGTGGCCTGAAAGAAGAGACTGTTACAATCCTATGCAGTTTAGATGGAAAGAAGCTGGGTTGTAGGACTTTTTCTGCCTGAATTTGCACAGGGTTGTGATCTTGTGGATGCTTCCAGATAGATAGCAACCAGACAAAAAGTATTACTGAATTCATACTACAACACAGCAAATGAATTCAATATGGATTATAGGTTGTCTTTGAATTGCGGGTTATTGTGTATACCCAACCATGGTAACAAATCATGGCTGATGTGTGGAATAACCCATGTTTCACAACCCAAACAAACCATGGCTTCTCTCTGTGGGTTGTACTTGGTGAACAAGTTTGGTAGCTTGGCTAGGTTTATATGCATGGCTGGGTTCACACAATGCAACAACCCATGACTGAGCAACTATCCATAGTCAATACACACTCAATCCATGATCCAGCTTGATGTGTTAACCTGATCACAGCACAACCATTCCATCTTTCCCTCTTAACTCTTTCTTTTCTGTTAAGAAAGAAGCAGCAGTGGTAAAAGGATGGCTACAAATAGAACCTGTTATCACAGGGATACCCCTCACACACATAACAGTCTGTGTCTGAGACAGGGTAATGGGTTCAAGGGGGGAGAGAGAAGAAACCCTTGCAGATGCCATTCAGAACAGGGGGACAAAGATGTTCCCCAAAATCTACTTTAGCTTTGTAGTCTGGCAATTTAATTTGCCTGCAGTGCTGCAGCTCTCTCGAGTCTTCCTGCAAATCAAAGATGAGCTTGCTCCTTGCCTGTAGGTAAATGGGTACTGAAGGCTACTACTTTCACCACCCTAGAGATAACCAGGAAAGCAAAAGGACTGCTCCAGAATAGTGCTGTTCAAAGCACTTAAGTGCCTTTATTGCAACAGTATTCTGTGCCCAGAGAAAGTGTACGATACTATGCTGAAATTAGGGATGACAGAATGAAGACAAGAGTACTGTAACAAGGGATGGAACAATATGGGCGCCCAGCAGCAACAAAAAACAGGGCTTGCAGGGTTGAAGACAACAGTTGTTTTCTCTGTTCATTTCCTTGAAAACTGCTGATTTGCATTTCTTGCCAATTTTTTTTACACCCTTGGCTGTGGAAGGATGGAACTGGTATGCTCTCCTCCTCTCCACCTGAACCTCTGCAAATGTGATGTTTTATATTTTACGATGCAAATTTTGCAAGTATGCCTTGTCACAGACACATTGTCAGAATATACATGCACACTGTTCTGAATTATACCACTTGAAATATCTGAAGCCCTACAGAATTCTCTTGTTTGTTTTAAAAAGAGATAAAGGTAAAAATATGAGGACATCATCAGTAATCCAAATTTACCTCTTGGGTGAAATGAGTTATTCATGTAATATTTATACATTGTTTGGACTGCTCAAAAAGCTGTTTATCTGGAAGCTTATATTATAATTAGTTTATTTAGAAAAGTGCTCACAGGTGATTAGGCGGAACAACTAGTTTAATAATGAACCTCAGGGTATGTGTGTGTGTGTGTGTGTTTGTGTGTGTATGAGACAGGGAAGTAAATTCTCCTGAGCTGGCCAATCTCTTCCATCCAACCCAAGGATGGAAAAATCTTTTATACAGAAACGATTTAACATACAGAAAAACATGAGAAGATATCACAGAATGGGAAACAACACCAGCAGGGCTCAGTACCATACAGAAGGCGCAAAGAACAGCAAAAGAAGCAACTCTGATATTAAGGAAAGCAACAATGTACTATGCTTTGATCCTTAAATCCTTTTGGATGTACATTTGGTTTCTGAAACTATCACTTGTGAAGTTGTGAAAAAGTGTCTGGGATATCCATTTTCCTTGCATCTCCCCTCTCCACATGCTAACTTCGATGCAATATGCAGTTTGTTTTAAGCCCGTATGTGGTTTCTCCTTATGCCTGAATCAGGTAACGCTGGTTAAAAATAACCCAGGATCTCCAAGTGAAGCCAGCACATAAGAGGAGAGGTAGAAAGGAAGCACACACTGGCCCAATGAAATGTGTGTCCAAATTGGGCTACTGAGTTCTGTAATGGATATTCTTGCTTATACAGGCAGCGGGGGAAGCAGCTTATAAAGGACAGTGTATTCTAACCATGACCATCCCCTAACACAAAGCTAATTTACATGAGAAAGTTGCTCCATACATTTCAGTGGGAGAAACAAAGCTGTATTATCATTCTCTTGCACATGCATAACTGCTACATCCATTGAAATGAATGGGTTAGCTTATGATACTAGAAACTCCATGTGGACATAAAAATAAAACACATGGGGCTTTGAACTGGGACAACTATGCACCTCATCTAATGATATTTAACAATGTTACAATACTTTTTTTACTACAATGGGATACACTATTTTACTTATAATCAAAATAGCAGCTGTTCTTTTTTAATTCTTTTAACATTTTCTGTTTTATAAAAAAGTTATATTTAAAACAAAGGGTTTCTTTTAGCATTGTTGTTTACCATTCTCATTGCTATAGTTCATCAGCATGCCACAAAAGACAGTCAAGAGCTTCTCACTGGCTGGATCTGTTTTACTGCACAGTGACCTTAAATGGTCTATTACAATCTGTGCCCCACCTGCATGGTCAACTGCGTTTCTGCCCTCATCTGTAAAACAAAGAGTCAAGTTAAAAATAAAATTAAAGAGGCACTTAAGAGTTTGAAACATCACAATAATTATAAAGAGAAAGATGGTCTTGAATTAGTAGTGCTATTGTTATCACAGTATGGATGGGGAAAATGTATTTACAGGGATGCTTAAGGAGTTGGTTCCTATTTGCACCTTATATTAAGGAAACTTCCTGTAAGAAGATATTTGCTTATACAGGTAGGGAAAATCCCAGGGTCTGTAATCTCCGGAGGTCCCATTCCACCTATCCACCATATACAGCTCCTGTGCCTCCCTCTCTCAGCATGGATGCCAAAGGAAAAGGGAGGGGACCAGAGAAAAAAATATTCATTTACTGGCAAAACAAAGATAAATAGCAAGCCCTAGGCTTTCTCAGAGCCCCAAGTTCAAGTCAGCTTGGACAGATCCCGATTCATAACACAGGCATCACTGAGCAGCTCTGGTTCTTGGCATAGCAACTATATTTGAGGACCACAAATCATGCAAACAGATACCACCTAAGGAAAAAAAAAGAGTTAATAAACAAAGAGGGGCATGAAGTCTTCAAAGAAGCAAAGGCTTGAATTATCAGATAAAAATAATACACTAAAAATGCAATTTCCTTCCAAGAACCTTAAGGAGTTTTATAACCACCAGTTTGTTGAACCTGCATGACATTGTTATGGGAGGAAATGAAATTGCATTAAATTGCTTGAGATAAGTTTCATCATCAGGGAAAGATGATCTAACTTTCAATAATGGGCAACTGAAATACAAGGAATGCTTAAAGGTTCAATGGTCTGAACTTAACATAGTTTAGAATGAAAACCTGGTATGAGTTTTCACTGTACAGGCAAACCAGAGTTTACTTTAAAACTGACTGCCATTTGCTGTAATCTTTTACCTGCTTACCTAACCAGGATTTCAAGCTGGTTGCATTTCCATCCCACTTGCTCAGAAGATGAAGAAAATATTGCAGAGAATTCTGGAGGCAGAGCAATGATTATGATTTGTCTGCTTAGATGCCATGCCAAATCATAGCTAACATAAATACAACTTCCAAATTCACTCAAAACAATTATTTGATTATGATTTGCTAAATGACCGCAATTCATATGTTTTTCAATTTTTTTGGTTCAGACATCATACGGAGCCAGTAGTTAAGTTTTCTTATTAAGATAATGTTCTAGCAACACAGTAAGAAACAAAGAACATTGGGTATGCCTCAACTTACCTCAACAAGTAAGTGATCTATCACATTATTTCCAAGCTTAATTAATGGGCATACAGGAAACTAAATCATTAAACCTCTTCCCCCTGCCTTGCAGAAGCTCCTGTTAAAAATAGCTCTGGATTCATCAGGCAAAACAGGAAAGAACATGTTAAATACACCAGGGAATGGGACATGTGTTGGGTAGTTTTAACCATTTCCATGCATTCCCTGCAATGACTTTTATACATGTACGTTGTAGTGGTACGCTTGCAAACTCACTTTTGAACATTCAAAACATATATCCTTATCCTTCCTTCAAAAAATGAATTTTCTGTTTAGTATATGTAGTTTCCAAACCTCTTTCTCCCACTCTAAATACTGGTCATGAAATCTTAATATACTTCTCTCCTTTATCTAGAGCGAAAAGCCAGTGAATAGGTTCTCTCTAAACATTATCATGCTGGGAACAATAGATGGCAAAAGAAGGAGGGAACGGCAGAGGATGAGGTGGCTAGATGGAGTCACTGAAGCAGTTGGTGTGAGCTTGAGTGGACTCCGGGAGATGGTGGAGGACAGGAAGGCCTGGAGGAATGTTGTCCATGGGGTCGCGATGGGTCGGACACGACTTCGCGACTAACAACAACAAGAAACATTATCAAATTACACATAGGAGATGACAAAATATCAGAACATTTTATTGTGACATGTCAAGTTTTCCATATCAAATGCTACCCACAAATATTATAATGCAGTGGATCATGAAAAAATGAATAAGGATTCTGTCAAGTTTAGCTGTAGCAAATATTTCTGAGGGAATAGCTATTGAATCACTCATTCTATCCATCACATCATTATTCCTATCACTTCAGCAACCAAAAGTGGATTCACAAACTGCAGACTGTGATTTGACTCAAACAAAGACAAAAGGTTGTATCAATGTTATACTGCTGTCACTGTTCTGATGGCACAGGAATGGGCAACCTCTGCAGCTTGGGGTGCTTCACTGCCCCCACTGAACCCACCAGGAGAACCCACTGCCCTCACTAAATCAACCCTCATCCAATTTGCTAGAAGTCAAGTTTACAAATGAATTTGCAACTGCTGTAGCAAAAGATCACTGGAATTTTTGTCACCACAGCAAATTCAACTGGTGCTGCAGCAGGGACAGGCAGAAGATGAAAAATTGGCCATGCAGGCCATGAGTTGCACTTCCTGACACTGGTAGTTGCAAAACCATTAGCAAAATAGCTACTTAAGTTTTGACAACCCCTGGTATAGTGAAATTGTAATGAGGTGTGCAATGTCTTGTGGGATGTCCAATAGAAGGGCTTGTAAAATGTCTTAAACAAGCTGGGGGTCAGACTAGATGGCCCAGCAGACCCCTTCTAACTCACTCTGTTTCTATGTTTCTAAGTCTTGAGCTTGACACTAGTGTAAGAATGACCAAGAGGTTTCCACAGATAGTAAAAGCTTTCCCATAGCAGAATGCTATCACGTGGGACAACCTAACGTTGATCAAATCTCTCTTTCAGCAATTTTATTATGTTGCAAACTTTCAGAATGCACAGAATTTAATGCAATGAACAATGACCTTCCAAAGGATCTCTCTAATACATTGTTGCTTACTGTCCGAATATAGCTTAAGAGCTACATGGGATGCACAAATAAAACCAAAACTGGGTTGTACATTGTACATTCAACTGAATTTTGCTGCATTTCCGTCAGGATGTTTCGTCAAAATAACTTTCAGATAGGATTGCTGATATCTTATCTTGTGTACAAATCAATATTTCTTGCTTTGATAAAAGAAATTATAACAAGTTAACAGCAAGTATATAAAATAAAATCAAAGACTTGGGTTGGATCTTGGAGAGATCATATGAAAAGAAGGAGAGAAGAGGGGAGATTATTGCCAATTTCCTCTGGTCCCTGCCCATGCTATCCGCTACTTGCTTCCTGTATCCCACTCTGCCATTTGTGGGAGCCTAGAATGCTTCACACATGGATCTATGGATGAAGCCTAATTGACATGAACTGGGTAAGGCAAGACTGCCAGAGATTTCAAAGCTCCATGCTTATACCAGCATTGTACTTTTCAAAGGAACAAAGCACACTATGAATTCAGAAAGCCACATGTTGTTCACAAAATATTCCCCCCACCCCTTTTCTGATTCTACTGTACCAGAGCTGTGCATAAAATACAGCCACTAAATCCCAGATTCAGATTGTGCTACTTTCTCTTATTCCCTGCTTGACTGTTACCATGTCAAATCCAGCAGCAAAATCTCACACAAAACATCTCTAGTAGCTTGGAGGGGTATTTTTTAATAATTAAAAATGCAATTGTTTTAAAAAGCAAAAAAAGACAAACTATGTGCTGCTCTCTTGTAAACCTAATTAACAAACATCCATCACTGCTTCAGTTGGTATTGCTACAGTTCCCAATAAGTATTTTTTAAACAAACGAACGCAAAGTAGAGAGAACACACATGGTTTTCCCTAGTAGCTGCAGTCTTGGCTGCATGAATAAAGAAATGGCATACAGTGACAGGCAAGTGTATAACTGAATACATAACATTTTGCATAACTGAATGTTATTTTACAGATGCCTGTTAGGAACAGGAGCTGATCATAACTAAAATGCAACTTAATACCCTTATAACCTGTCATTTATTCTTTCAGTTCCCTAACCCTTCCTTTTTCCTTTATTTCTTAGAAACTCCACTTTTTAGACTTAACCCAAACATCTTCTTATTCATTAATAATCCTGTACATTTGCAGGAACTGCCAAAGTTTTCTTGGCCCCCAAGGGTGTATGTATGTACAAAGTGGGGAAAGCCCAAAATTACTTCTTATTTTTTCTTGTTTGAAGAATGGCAAATTATACCATTTTAAAAGTAGCCATTATGTGCTTAGCTTTACCCAATGCATTTCACAGAAATGAAGAATTAGGTAAACAAATATTTGCAAATATTTATAGCATACTATAGTTTGCTATATTGGTTAAGAGTGCAGGCCTGGGACTCAGACGATCTGGGTTCTAGTCCACACTCAGCAAAGGAGGCAACTGGATGACTATGGACCAGTCACAGACTCTCAGGGCAACCTACCACACAGGGTTGTTGTTGTGGAGATAAGACTGAAAGCAGCAGGATAATGATATAAGCTGCCCTGTGTTATTTACAAAAGAAAAGGGCAGGATATAAATCTAATCAAGAAATAAATAAGTGAAAATATGAATACTTCATTTTCTAAAGCTAAAATTAAAAAGAGACTCATTATTACAATATTTTTATTCAGTGTGGACTTCTCTGCATTACTGTGGAGGAATTTTGTAAAATTTATATTTCTCAGCAGGAGACAGGATGACAGTGGAACAAAAATTTCTCTTTAAATGTAGTTTTTTACCCCCACCCCCAGTTGTCAAGTTTTTCTATTCTTCCATATACCAAGAATACCTATTCTTTATAGGTAATCTTCTTTAGCCCCCACAAAGAAGTGCCATGAAGAACTATATATTCTAATAAAAACAGTAACCTATTTTCAGTCTTAAACAAGGATGCACTAAAAACCTCTACCAACTAAGTCTTAGACTCTAAGGATTCCATTATTCTGTTCCAGAATTTGAATTTTAAATTATACACTTGTGGTGAAGTCTCAGGACTGTTCCTCTTACCATAATTGTACATTTTGCAAGTTTACTCACTAGTTTAAAATCAGAATGCGAGGAAAACTGATATACATTCATAAAGGGTGTCCCTGCGGTTTCTGATTTTGCATACATAA